AAAATATATATCAGCATCCATTTTCTACGCTTCACTGAACTGCGTGCTCCCCATTACGGAATCGGCATCTGTACGGCTGTAATCTGTCTTGCTTGTCCCGTGGCCTCATTTTGTCACTCCACCTTCCTCATTAACCGACCCGCCGAGTTCATTCCCCCGTATCCACCGTGCGACATTATTATTTTTTTACCTCGCCGTTATCCACTTTACAACCTTGCGCTAATGGATGCAGGGAGAGCACGGCAAGGTTAAGGATGCAAAACGTCGCAAGGGTGTTTTTCAACGGGATTCTCTCAGGTTTTTTTTTTTATCCCGAGGAAAATTTGAACTTTTTCGTGAATCCCAATCGCGGCGGAGGTCACATGGGACATGTAAATTTAATGCCATTTTTGCTGTTTGCATTTCGCGATGTGAACTTCATGTAAACAGGGATGTGCAACCCTACAGTGTGACCTTGTTTTAAAAGAGGCGAGGTGGGGGAGGGGGCAGACGCATAGAGAATCTCAGGGGAGCACGCACACGGTCAGTGTTAAAAAAACTTTAAACAAACGTTAAACACTCCACAGAATGAGCAAGAGTACGTTCTGCCATTTACCTATCGTACATGAGGGAAAGCTGTCATCCCTGGTGTTAAATATTTCACCGACTATTTTTTTTAAAATCACTGTTAAGATTTTTTAAGGGAGCTCCGAGCCTTCCTACAGCAGGGAGGGGTGGGGGGCTCAGTCCCCTCCAGCCCCCCCCCATCCCCCGACGCTACGGTGTCGCGAGTGTGGCTCACCAAGCCAACGCGGTGCACGATGCACTCAGCCAATATCGCAAGCAGGACGTGGGTCACGATGTGGAACATCACGCAGCAGAAATCCGATAGGATTCAATAATCTGCAATGCAGATCGACGCAACACAAAGCAATGCAAGAGAGATCATTCTCACGTTTGTCGGTTTAATCCCTCCCTGGTGAGATCACCCTCCGAACAGAATCAGAATATTTATTTATACTGGAGGAATCCTATGAGCTATAAAGCTCTTTTTTTACAGATGTCCAGTAGGGGCGGTTAAGAAGGTTACAACAAGAATCAGTACAAAAACACGATAGTAGTGCCAAGTATAAGAAAGGTAAACAAATCACCCAAACACGTACAAACGAAACTAAACCATCCCCATCCACCAGCGAAAGCCCATTGAGATATTAACTTATTTTTCTGAAGCGACCTGGCCACAAATGATAGCTCAACAAAGTGGCCCATCAGCTAGACATTTATAGCGATAAAATAATCTAAATAATCTTAACGCATGTTTCTGAATTGTGGAGGGGAAAACCGGAGGACCCGGAGAAAAAAAATCCACGCGGCCACGGGGAGAACATGCAAACTCCAAATATACAGCAGCAGGCGTCAGGGTTGGGATCGAACCTCCAACCTCCTGCGTACCAGGCGAGGAAGATGACGTCTCACCACCGTGGCGGCTCTTCCTTCCCTTCCCACCACTCGCATATTTTCCACGAGTATCGCTCCATCAAGTCTCCAACAACCAACTGGGCCAGCCTAATCTCCCATTGGTCAACTTGAAGCCAGCGGTGGAAATTCCACCTTCCCGTGGCGGACGACGAGAATGATGAAATTACTCCTGTTGACATTTCTACATTGGTGGTAAACATGTTGATGGACGCTGGAAGAATGACGGGTTTGAGTTGAGCCTCCATTCACCAATCACAGTTGTTTAGACCTCACTCCTATGAAAACAAAACCGATTTTTTTTTTCCCTTCACACCCTTGTATCCTGCAGCCCTCTGTCAAAACGGGGGTCACTGGACAAAGGCCTGACAGGACAGAAAATGCATCTGGGACATTTTCACCTCCATTCCAATACGGCAAGAAAATCTAAGAGGAAAAAACTTCCCCTCCACATTAAAGAGTCACCTTCGCTCACTAGTTTCCTCACTCAAAACCAACTTATTTTCCCTAGCTCACCCCACAACCCCTTAATCTCCCCTGAATAACCACCGCCGTTACTGCTCCTTCTTCATATTCTCATTATGCGGCGGTCACTCATTGCCCATTCATTCACTCCATTCATCATCGTTTACTATCATCAATTTCGCTTTCACCAAATTCACGCATCACAGATTTGCCCATTGCTTCCTCTCATCTATTTGATTCACCTCATCTCCACCATTACATTCAGATGTTGTATCGTTCTCAACTCTCTGTAAAGCACCTTGGTTAAGGCGCTATATCAATTACGTTAAGATAAGGTCTATCCACCTCTGTGCTACTTCTGAACCCGAGCCTCAAGCTCTCCCCGAGGCCTACGTTGGGGCGCCATCGTCGATTACGAGCGGTGTTCCTCCAACCGCAAGCTCACAACTCCGCGGGGCCCCATACACCCACACACGCCTCGTCCCCGATTAGCACGGTCGGCTCCGTACATTGGGAAAAGAAGTTCAACGTACAGACATCTCTCACGTGCGTCCATGTGGCACATTCCGAACCCTGCTGTCGCCAAAGCCACTGATCAATCTTTATCTGGTACCCCGACTACTCTAAACTCCCAACTCTACGCTCCACGTTAAGTCCCTCTAAACGCCAGATGATTCTGGCAAACACTGCCAAACTCCTCACATGTCAATGCGACCGATTCTCCGTGATTCTGAGATCATTCCACTGGTTTCCGTATAGATTTCCAATCCAAATCTACCACAAGATCAATGCCATTATTTTCTGGGTACTCCACGGCAATGCTCCCACTTAACTCTCTGATCTTATCTCAACTCGCTCTCTTTTCTCTGATGCTAAGCCGCTCCAAGTCCTCTCTCAAATCCTCCCATCAGCTCCTGACCATGGGAGATCATTCCTTAATCTCTGCTGTCTGGAGCTCCCATACAATGGGTTGTGTTCATTACTGGCTTCCCTCATTCAAATCACAACGAAGCACTCTCCCCATTTTCTTCACCTATGATTAATAACCATATTATAGGCTAATACAAATAATAATTGTCAGTCCTTTATCAATTCACAGCTCTCTTCCCACGCTGTATTGGTCAAGAGGGTTTTCTGACAATACTTCGCCACGCTCGTCACTGCTAATATCACTCGACACGAACGTTATCCGTTACCAGGATTCTAGGTCAGGCTCACCACTGCGTCACCACTCCATTCCTTATTCAGAGCACAGTTTTCTACTCTCTCCCACTCACTTGCTATATATATTATCCTTATAGCCCTGATGTGCACACTTGCCTACCACCCACAATACCCTACTAAACATGTGTCACATTTGACCCAAGCTACACTGTGTCTTGCAATAAACTATTTTTACATGTTTTATAAATATAAATGCCACGGTACTAGACCGTGACTGCAAAATATTACCGTGTAGTTCCTATAAGGTTACACCTTCTACCTGAACGCACACCCTACACTCGCCTACCATCAGCACCCCCCCCCCCCCATCATCCAACACCTGGCCAATGGGCAGGTGGAGGTGGTGGATTAACTATCCTATCCGATTGCCTCGTGGTGCCGCAATGGAGAGCTTCGTTGAATGATGGAGCCTGGGAAGAATGAAGGAGTGGGATGCAGGGGGGGGGGGAGGTGAGAGAGAGGGGGAATGTGCCTACGTTCACGTGTGAAATGCGCAAGACACATGGTGGCTCCGTGTATTGCCATCGCAACAATTATACGATCACACCCATGGGACCTCATTTCCACCTATCACAAAGCCAGGGGCAGATGAACAGCTGGAAGCTACTGAGAGGCGGGGAGAGATCATCCCAACGATTTAGAGGTGATATGTGGCCTGTATACAGAGGCTCATTGGGGAATTGTGTTGCTCCCAGAGAATAAAAAGGATCCTTGGTCCCTCCTTCAAGGGATTCTTCAGACACAGTGAGGCTTTATTCCATAAACCAGGGAACATTACTATTGTCGTCATTTATTATGATGTTCTATTATTATTCTTTTTTAAACTGGCTGGGAGTTATGACACACATTGATAAAAATAGGAGATGGAGTTGGTGGATTACATGGAGGTGATGTTTGGGCAACGAAAAGCTTGTGGGAGTTAGCAGAGTAAGTAGGTTGACAACCTAGTTGTGAATGTTGAGAGCTCTTTCCACAGTATGTTGTTTTGAGTTTGTCCTTTTATTCATGTATTCCACATTCTGTCTCCAGGTGTAATTCCCGGCATACATTTTCATCCTGAAATGCATTTTTTTAAATAATGCCCTTGCCAAAAAAAAAAGCTAAACAAAAATATAAATTGGAATGACACAGTTGGAAATATATTTTTTTTTTAAACGTAAAAGCTCACATGCTGTATAACTCTGATGTGGATGTTACGTGCATCCCGTATGCATGTCCTCATGGTAAGGTGAATATATTTTTTACCGATTACATACTGCGTGTACACGGGGAAAATCTGTTGGAGAAATCCATGATGCGCATCATGAACTTTATTCAATTAGCTCGGCGAAGTCAGGAATCATTAACTTCAAGATTATCCTTTATATTTTAAGCAATTATATTTTTCAAGTGGACCGGAAGCACAAGGATACAGTACTTGACTACAGTGCCAAGAGATGGAGTGAATGCTAGAGGGGCAATGTTAGCTGCATTAACAAATGTGAAGAGCAGAGGGAGTGACGTTTTTATTTATGTCACTGGATTCGCAATATTTTATTATTTTTACACCATGCTTTTGGATTTGACTTTATAGCCATGAAGCTCTTTACAAAAATGTACGCAGAAACACAAACGCACGTTGTATATCGAATCGAAGCTGCACTTAACGCACACAGGCTGACACGATTTTAGAGGCAAGAAAAACTGCGGTTAAATTCTAAAGTCACGTTTGGGTTAGGCCCACCAAAATGTTGGGGACGAGGCCACGGACATTTGGGCGAGGGCCACGACAAGGCACCGAAGCACGTGTGTTGTGGATGTTGTGCAAAGCAATAATAAATTGGGTGCCCGCGGCTGCACCAGTGCAGCGAACTTACTTTGGATTATCTCTCGGAAAGCCAACGCCGCCGCTGAGTCGGGGACCTCTGCGACAAAAGACTTTCCCTCGTCGCAGCATCGCCCTAGAGCGGCGACGACAGAGAGAGAGAAAACACCGAGTGCGACCTATTATTAATTACCGCCAGCATTGAACGTGTTATGGTGCATCGTAGTCTGAAGGTGAATGGACGTGGAACTGTAAGACGTTAACTTTTCCCGATTAGATTTACTCGTGAGTTTCATTGATATACAATTAAGAGGTTACTTCAACTGGTAGAAAAAAAGTTTAAAAATACAACTTGTTCTCGTGGTTATGCGATTGGCTACCTAAGTTGCCCGTTACTCATCTCACTCCACTACCTATCCGTCATCCTCTCGAAGAAGAGGTGCTGACATTAAAACTGCAGGATCTAGCGGAAGGAAGCGATGGCAAGGTGTGGTGGCATCAACCGGGCATTGGTCATGATGACCTCTTGACAACATCGCACACAGTCACTGATCGTAGAAAATTGAGCTGTGACATGCGGGAGCTTCCTGGAGTGAAGATGCAATGCAAACAGCTCATCTTTGTGGACACACACTCCTACACCCGCCGTGTGTGTGCAGAGCCATTGGCGTGAGGCTGAAGCTTCATTCGTGAGAAGAAGAAAAAAAGGACTTTAGATTTAGGTCAGGCTTGCCATTACAGTGCTCGAGTCACATCAAATTGCAGTTTAGAACAAACACGAGGTGATGTCGCAGTGATGTCACGAGAGTGACTCATCTGACCTAATGGTTTGTCTGTCCGTAACTGAAAGGTCTTTGATCTTTCTCATTAGCAAAGCTTCAATCTCGTGCTGCACGAGAGCATGCAACCCAGGAAGGTATCTGCAGGAAAAGAGGCAATTGTTTTTTTTCTGGGCTGCTTCTTCCTTGGAAGGGAAACGTGCCTTTGCATGCACAATGGGTGTTGCTGACACAGATCCCACTGGGGGAAAACTGCATCTTTTCAATGCAGTACATTTATTAAAACAATACATTTTCCAGCAAAAAAAAAAAGCAACGATTTCCGAAATATGACAGTGCCGACGGACAAAATCCAGAAGCGTTGCTTCATCACAACGAAATCCTAGACCTACGCACAAAGGCAAAGGTAGGCGAGTCCTAGGTCTACGCAAAAAGGCAAAGGTGTCAGCCGCGTAGGCGAGTACCGTGGCTCCCAGACCTGCGGTCCGCGGGCCACTGGTGGGTCTGCAAAAGCCGTGGGAAGCGCTCCGCGGGACCGGTATTGATACTACCATTCAGGGTCGTTTTAATTGAGAAAAATTGTGTTGGTGTGCGCGGTGGGCCGGTGAAGATCGTCCTGGGGGGTTGACGGCAGTGAGCGGGTGCAGAAAGATTGAGGAGCACTGCTGTGGCACACAGCACAGTTCGCTCGACCCACTTGTGCGAAGAGGACGGACGGCATTTGGAGAGACCAAATGCACGAACAACAACCACAACCCTTGAAGGTTGTCTATTCTCTCTCTCTCTTCATCGGCCACTAAGTGGGCGTTCATTAATTCGCTTACGGGTTTGGCATGTCCAGAGTCCTGACTTCGGGACAGTGTCCAACAAATTACGGGAGACACTGCCACACGCCAGCAGCTGTGCCTCATTCATTCTGGGCCCTGGGTGTGCCCGCCTGTTCCATTCCTCATTGCCCCTTCGCGCAGGGATCATGTGACAGCTGTTCAGCAAACAAGTACAAACATAGCCTGTGCCGTGTGCGAATAATTTGTTCGCCGACTCAAAAGGTCGGCGCATATTCTGAGGGCACAGTGGGCTGTGTGAATTCTCCACTCGAGAGTAAGACGCCTTTCATCGTCGCTCAACTCTGAACCAATCGCCCCATATGCTCCGGCAAAATACTGCGAGTGCTTTTGGAAAGCTAAAACTTGAAAATGAAGAGCAACATGCCGACGTCCGTGAAGAAGCGTAAAATAGCTGCTTTGAAACACGTGGATTGGCAATGTGAAATTACACTGAGAAACATAAAGAAAAACACGTGGATGTGAGGACGTATGCAGACACATTGCCGCTGGGCGAGAACATTTAAAGCGTTGCACCCAATGAAGGGAACGTGCTGGAGAGTACGTCCAGCTTGGAGATGGAGTGATAAAATCAGCCCACATGTAGCTGCCTGGTGGATTCTTCAGATCGCAGGGCCGTGAGAGATTTCCCGGCAGATTGGGGGAAGTCTTCGTCCAGCAGCGGACTGACCACAGCTTGCTGATGATTGCGATGATGAAAAAATATAACCGATTCTCGTCATGTGTTTTATTTGGTCATTTATGTATTTAACAAAAAAACATGAATAGGAAATCTTAAACCGACCTATATTTAATGCTGGGTTCCTTACTCTGCACGACTTGGCTCGAGTAGAAAGGAAGGAAGCAATATAGTTGTGAAAATATTCTCACCTAGCCGTGGGTCGAGGGGAAGCTTCGCCAGGAAAGGCACGTTCATGCTGCGGCACATTTCCACGGCGCCTCCCGTGCTGGGCGGGAAAATCTGCGACTCGTTCTGAAGAAGGTGGCAAGATAAGACTCATATAAACTGCTTGTGTTTAGTTTAGTTTGTCGTCCTTCTCCCATACCTCCCGATTAGCACGGTTGGTTATGTAAAGTGCGGGAGAAGTCCAACGTACATAGGTACGTACATAAACCGTCTCCCGTGTTACTTGTACGCCCATACCCAAATTCAACAGGATATCACGAAGTGTTGCCGAGCGATGTTTTACGCAATTATACCTTGCACTTTGGGCAGATGAAGCCACTCATGTTCTCTACGACGCCGATGATTGGGAGGTTCACTTTCCTGCAGAAGTTGATCTCCTTGCGGACATCTTGCAAAGACACCTCCTGAATCAGAATCAGAATCTGGATTTATCCTGGAGAAATCCGACGGGCCATGAAGCTCTTTTTCACATATGTCCAGTAAGGGGGGGCGGGACATAAAGTTACAACAACAAAAATGCAACAAAAACGAAAGGAGTGCAAATTATAGGAAAGTTAAGCACATAACAATAAATAAATAAGTAGAAATAAAAGAAGTTTAAATTGTGTAAGTACATCAATTTCCAAGCTTGGGCAAGGCAGCAAAACAACAGCAAATAAACTGTCCCAGACTACATCAAGACAACAACAAACAGTCCCTCAATAAAATTGAACATTAAAATTGAACATGAAGAGTGAAGGACACAGTTCAGCACGAGTCCGCCATCTCCGTGACGTCCTGGTACATTTCTTGGTCAGAAATAAATTGAGAATGCAAATCTAGTATCCTTTTTTTAACTAAGAGATGAAACATAGGCCCATCGGGACACATGATACTCTTAGCCTCTGTGTGTTATATCAAGTCGTTAAGAAACCAAAATTATATCTATTTTTTATGTAACAAATTTAGATGAGTTTCACGATTATCTGTAAGAGATGTTGAGGCAATGCTGCACCAACATATACCAAGTGCTCTTGTTGTAAACATACTGTATTCTCTGGATTATAAGATACTTGTGTAAAGTGTAAAATGCAAAATATAAGTAATTATCATAAATATTTTAATAACAATGCTGGTAACATAATGTACACGCCTCGATGGTCTCTTGCACCAGAATCTACGGCAAGGTCATCCACGGATAAGAGCAGCATCTCCCAAACCCAGCACACCAGGCAGCCTCCTCCATCTTGCTTCACCAGAGTACAGGGCGTCCATCTTGTTTCATGATTCAACGCCCCCAACCACTCTGTGTGGGGGTGACGCCCGACCGTTATGCAATCGGCCATAATCAGATCAAGATCACAACAAGACTCGATAGTAAACCGAACACAACTGTCGACAATGTTGTGTAATCTGGATCAGTTTTACGAGAAAGCAGTGACATGGCGATAGCGCAACACAACGCGGATGCATGAAGTCGCCAATGTGCGGCTTTATCTGTCGACACGACGATCAGGAACGAGAGCGAGGTTTGCACTCAAAGCGGTAAACAGACAGCTTTTTTTGCGGAGGATGAACTGCAATTCGTATAATGGCTTAAGTGTCACGAGTGGCCAATTGACCCCTTGTCAAATGTCAATTGCTGCAACTATGCCATAAGTAGGGCAATGAACGCAAGGAATGTTCCTGGCAAACTCCAGGGGTGTTCAACTCAACGCAAGTAACGGCAATGGAAAAGTACACAATTATGGTTTAATTGAAAATTTGAGACTATAACTGGATATGTGGAGTAAAACCCGTGCTAATTGTGCAGCCAAGTGGAATTAAAGTTTACAATCGGTGAAAATTACCTGCTATGACTTACAAAGAAAATGGAAAAAGAGCTGAAAAGTGCACGCATAAGGTATGGAGACATTCATGTTTGGAATTACACCGACACAGAAAGAGGAACACTTAGAGCAGGGAACAAATGCAAGTCAGGGACATCACACTGACCATCAAGGCGAGTAAGTGGGCTTGGGAAGAATATGTCGTGAGAAGGGACGATGAAAAATAAGAATAGGTTTTACCCTTTCTGGCAATAAATAGTTGTGTTAAGATGTTCAAACACCAAATAGACACATTTTGCAAGGAATCAAGTCTGCAATAGCCACACGTACTTGTGGTGAACATGCAAACAAACATGCTCTGATAATATCTGCATTGTCTTTGAAACTGATTGGCCTACACTAATCTTACCAGTGTCAGACCATAGAACAACGCCATAAGGCGAACAGTCACATGGTTGATGGACGTGACTGATGACGGAATGGTAGAGAACATTGCCCTGAGAGGATTGCCCCACAGCAGAGACGGAGCGATGATATTTGTCCATATGCAGGAGTGAGATGCGTTGTGGCATCGCAGGACGGTAGGTTATGGTGAAGACGTGGAAAGGCCTTCCTCCAGCAGTGGACAGACAATTGTTGATGATGGTGGTGATGGAAGGTTAGGAAGATTACACTATTTACATGGTGAGATAGAGCAGTGTTTTGTTTGAAAATATTGTCACCTTTCAATTCTGTTTTAACTTTATTTAGCAAAGCAAGACGGGGCGGGGACATGCCAACACGGCAAAGCCTGTGGGTTCATTGATTATCTGCGATCGCAGATTCCAATTTGAGAGAACTGGGCACGGGGATATGTGGGGCTGAAGAGTGCTGGAGAGTGGAATGTCTGCTCTGCTGATTTATCGTGAGGTGCGGCGGTGGGGGAGATGTGGGTATTTGCGTGGGAAAGGGGGAACGAGGGGAGGGCGCAGGGGGAGGGTGGAGGAGGAGGACGGAGAGGACAGGATGGTTGGAATAGGGGATGGAGGAGTGGGGAGTTCTAATGCTCACCATTCCGAACAGTGTGGTTTGGTGATTAATTGGTATGGATAGGAATGGGGGGGGGGTGGGGCAAATAGCTTTCAAGGCGTGTGATTTACCTGGTTTCATTCTGTGTAAAGAATTTCCAGAAATTATGCCCCCCCCCACCCCCCCTTCCTGTTCTGTAACTGGTGCTATGCACCGGGGCTCGTGTTGAGTTGAAATGAATTTTTTTTTAAAAATAGTTGACTGAATTTCACGAGCCCTAAAAAGCTCTTAAAGGTTTAATCACTGTGAATTAACATAACACACATTGTGTATGCCTACGACTGAAAAATATCACATCCTAAAAATATCTGGGCATTTGGTTGCATAATCATCCATACCTTAAAACACATGGACAAAACGTTACCAAGGTCTTTAAAATCTCTTTTTTTATATCCAGCTCTAATCAACTTATTCTCATTTCCTTCCCGATGATAATTGACTCTGGTCATGTGGGATAAAAATACACTGAAGCCACAGCCTGAAATGAGCTAGACCCGGTCGGTCTTCCACCCAGCCCTGGCATTTCACCTCTCGTAAGAGTTAAGTTGTCCATCATGGCCAACTCTATATATCTTCAAGAGAGAGTCCTTGCCTGTAACATCTGGCAGTTCACAGCATTGAATCAAGCAAGCCCGCTGATAAGACGCCATATGTCAAAACCGGCCCAGTTTGCTTGTATTGAATTTACTCCATGGGGGCTGCGAGAGCCAATGGGTTATAGGGACAGTACTTTACATTTGATGGGTAAAGAGACAAATGTATGGTGAGAGAGAGACATTACCTGCTAATCTATTTTGTTAATATAATGTACCCGAATATCTTACCATCTCAAAAATGTAATACAATGGTCAAAGTTTGAATGTAAATACTCTCTCTAAGACGTAACCTTTGCAGATAGGTAACGTATTAACTCAACAGACAAAAATAACAATGATAACCCCGGAGAGTCAGGCTGAGTCTGGAGGCTCCTGCTGTATTTGGTGGGATGTTTGTCCAACAGCGATGGTACCAGCGTTTCCGCATGACACTTCACGTTCGCGAAGCTTTACATTTCCTCGCAAATACAACATTTGGTGACTATGGGGACCTCATTTGCCAGTAAAAATATGATAATTGGTTCTTTACCCTTCTATCTGGCAACAAAACTGACACCTTTTTGCAAGGAGTCATGTTTGCATAGACCGCAATACCTGCAGTCATAAATACAAACAAAAGACATAACTCTGATAATGTGCACTGTCCTTGAAGTTGATTGGTCCACACCCGAGACAGCTTTCCTTCGAGCCTAGTCTCATATGGGTTGGACCAGATGACGCCAAAAGGTCCAACCCATATGAGACTAGGCTCGAAGGAAAGCTGTCTCGGGTGTGGACCAATCAACTTCAAGGACAGTGCACATTATCAGAGTTATGTCTTTTGTTTGTATTTATGACTGCAGGTATTGCGGTCTATGCAAACATGACTCCTTGCAAAAAGGTGTCAGTTTTGTTGCCAGATAGAAGGGTAAAGAACCAATTATAACATTTGGTGAGTTTATTTGTGTAATTTAAGCGTTGATTTAATTTAGATTTGCCACACAGATGGTCCCGTTTAGTCAGCTGGCCGGCTATATCGTAAGGGAGTTCCGTGGTGTGTTAGCGCAGCAACAACAAAAACATCTACATTGCAGAGAACGAATACAGGATTCTGAACCCTTTCCCGCTCCGATGACGTACGTGTAGCTGTACGTCATCATTTTTTTCTTCAGATTCCGTTCCCATGACGTACGTGTACATAATGAAAACGAAACAAATTTCGATTTAAAGCTTCGGACGCTGTCTTTCCGACAGCCCTGTTCTTCACCTGAGGACGGATGCTTGCGTTGTGGCCGAAACGTCGTGAGAATTTAATTTTATAAAGTTTTATTTTTATTATTTTATTATTTCCGTTCTACGTGACTTTACCGAAAGAATCAAGAAGATGAAAACGAAACAGGAAGGAAAACTAAAATAAAATAACTTCATCGGTACCAAGGCTCCCACAAGGCTGTGTATGAGGGCATGTGGCACAGTTTGCACCAGCTATCACAGAGTGCCGTCCTGTCGCTATGGTTATCTGCGGTGGGTAACAATGTCTTTAAAACAGCGGAGGCTACGCCTCTCTAAATAAAATGAACGCTAACCGCTGGCACGTTCCGGAATTCGGCGGTGAACGGGACCCACCACCCTGCAACTTGTAGAAGTCTCGGAACGCGAAAGGGTTAAGGAATCTTGCGCACATGCATTGCGCTCAGCAACAATGCCGACCATGTCAGCTTTCAACAGGTAGGAGGTTTTACATTGCCCTTGACAAAGGTGTCACCTGGGGATTAACATTTCATGCAAACTAACAATACCTCATTAGTGTCACGCACCATGACCACCTTTGTCTTCTCTCTAGTCTCTCGTGTTGAACACTGGAATTGTACTTTCAATTGAATTTCATCTTGTTTTCTGTTAATTTAATATCGTTTGCTACTTTGATGTTCCAAGCCTAACCGTGTACATTATGTGATGTATTACATAACTTGGTGTGCTTTTGAGTAAATGTTGTGATTTATAATTGCTGTACTCTTTGGTTCTTTCGGTAAAGGCACGTAGGTAAAAAAATAATAGATTACGACGTTTCTATCCGCCACACAAGCAATCGTCTTCAGGTGGGAGAGAAGAAGATTGATACTCTTAGGTTTTTTCGGTAAAGTCACGTACGTAAAAAATAAAATTAAAATTAATAAAAGTAAAATAAAAATAAAAAATCACGACGTTTCGGAGGCAACACAAGCTTCCGTCTTCACGTGAAACAGTCACAGCACGATTGCTGTATCAAGTAAAGAGAAATTACAAGAGACCCGACCTTGTATATATACTGGTCGAGGGGGGAGGATCCAGGGTAGGCCCCTGGATCGGAGTTTTTTATTATTATGGTAAGGTTGGTGCAGCTGAGGCTGCTGCTAGAAATGAGCCTTGTTACGTAGACTGGTTGAGCTGGGAGGTGCCAGAGTTGTTAAGGTGCGGCTGCTGCTAATGGGACTGAGCCTTTGTTATGTAGATGGTAGAAGCAGAAAAGCAGGTAATTTTATTTTTTACCTACGTGACTTTAACGAAAAAACCTAAGAATATCAATCCTTGCAGTCATGAAAGCTTCAAATCTAGAATTAAGAAGAAGATTGCTTGTGTGGCGATCGAAACGTCGTGATCGATTATTTTTCTATCTACGTGACTTTACCGAAAGAACCAAAGAGTATAGATTCCTGCAGTCACGAAAGCTTCAAATCAAGATTATAATTGCTGCTTTGATCTTTGTTTAAAGCAGGGCTGCCATTAAAGAGAATGTGCTGTGAAAGGAAACGTTTAATGTCAATGGGCTATCGCCTAGGTATAAATACATTTTTTTACATTATTTAACATTTAGTGTATATAAATACCATGTCTTTGTTGAAACGTGTCACTGTGAAAATAATAGAGTGTAACCCTTAGCATAATTACAGTTGAATAAAACTTTGATACGAAGATCTTATTGAAAAAAACCTGCATTTAACACGTTTAATGTAAACTTTACAATTAACAAGTAAACCCGTAAAAACAAAGTTTTTCACTATAAATCCTTTATATGCGTGGCGGCTAGAGTCCTCTCGTCCTCTGGCTTGAGATGGCTGCCACCTATGGGTCAGATGATTGTCTGCCACCATTAAGCAATTGGTAATTCAATATTTAATTTGTTTTCCCTAAACAGTGTAAAATTTTGGATTTTTTTTTCACGAAAATTAATTAATTGTCACACACAACGAGTCTGTGTGGAAAATGTCAGCTCGATTGGATCACGGGAAGTGGGTTAAAAAACGAGCGAAAGATTTGCACGGTCCTAAGCAAGCAAGCGAACTTAATATAAAGGATTTAAAAATATATTCGCCTGTGGAGGACGCGGGGATCGATCCCGCGACCTTTGGCATGGGAAGCGAGGGCGCTACCAACTGCGCTACTCCGCCACGGCCTGTGGAGGGGTTACACTCTGGGCTCTTACACTCTGACGTTCAGCCAAAGCCATGAATGCGTTCTATTTGAATATATGTAAAATAAAAACATTTTCCCAAAAAAGTGTACAATTTTGGGAATTTATTTTCACGAACAATAATTGTCTGGCACAACGAGTCTGTGTGGAAAATGTCAGCTCGATTGGATCACGGGAAGTGGGTTAAAAAACGAGCGAAAGATTTGCACGGTCCTAAGCAAGCAAGCAAGCAAGCACGCAAGCAAGCAAGCACGCAGACTTAATATAAAGGATTTAAAAAAAGAGTTGACTGCGAATTCTGAAGCAACACCACAGCTGGTACATTTTAGGAAATAAAAGATATATAAATTACGTCGAGTTGTGCACGAGTGTACGTCACGACTAGCACGGTCGGCTACGTACGGTGCCGAAGGAGCTCAACACCACGCGCGTAACGTGCGCACGAACCTGTGGCGTGGTGATGATCACTGCCCCGTCAAGGTTCGTTTCACTCAGATACTGAACGATGGACAGGTGCTCATCCGAGGTGCCCGGCGGAGTGTCCACCACAAGGTAGTCTACGGTGCCCCAGTTCACGTCCCGCAGGAACTGCTTGATGAGGCCTATCGGCACAGCAGAAGATAACAACAGAAATAACACAAGGGAAGGGGGGGGGGGTCGCCTCAAAGCCAACTTCACCTCCGATTAGTACGGTTGGCTACGTAGGGTATATGTATGTACGTACGTACGTACATACATATACATACGTACATACCGGAGGAGCGAGCCGTCTCATTGGCCCGTGGGCCAGAGCGGAATTTAGTCACCATCTAAGGGGGCCAATATTTAATGAAACCAGTTTCTGTATATGACTAATAAAAGCTGATTCTGTGATAAAATACTTCATTAAACAAGGTGAATGCACAATTCACTTTAATTGGCAACTTAAACCTGTTCGTGCAACTCAAGTGTTTCCATCCCAGCTGGTACCAACAAGTAATATATTTGGTCTGGGCCAATGGACTACATTGATAACACTTTGCGAACACCACCCACAGACTGAACGAAGTTAAGCTGGGAACCACTGCTGCTTTCATTGAGCATATATTTGTTCAAAGAGCCAACAGAGTTAATGGGAAAAGCACTGCTGAGAAATCGCTAACAGTTTTCACGGGAGAAGTGCAACACATAGCACACGTAGGGAGGATGTTTGCTGCCCAGCGGGGAATTTGTGGCGCCCGCCCGGGATAACGTGCCGACTACTGCGGGCACATCCGTCCCTTGGGTACGGGCGAAGGCGGGCGACCGCCCCGGGCCCCCGCGCTTCGACATCACGGTGTCAGATGTATGGACTGCCCTGCCTGTGGCCACGGACTTTATGTATGTTGAACTTCTTTCGCACCCTACGTAGCCAACCGTGCCAACCAGGAGGTGCAGGTCTGGTGCAAGCGGGTGGCCCGCACAGAAACGCAGCACCCACCCCTTCTCCCTGCCTCCCTCCAAGCCAGCACCACCGGCCAAGCCTTAGCATGCTGCCTGCAAACCTTCAGAGTTGGCTGAAGTGAACCATGACTCCAATAGCTCAATCACCTGGCCAAGCAGCTTATCCGCTTGTCAAACAAATGAGAGACTCCAGGGCTCACAGTGAGTAAAGTCGGCTAAATTCTTGCCACGTCTCCTCATTAGATGTATGTCCCAACTGTTTAAAGCTACTCGTGCCCACAATTGTTGTGTGTATCACGATTGAGCTTTTTTCTTCTTTCAACGCATTGAGAACTCGGCGATCTGGAATGGAGGGGGGGAAGCCAATCACGGTTTAATTCCTTTGTACTTTTAATTCTATTCCATGGAAGCCTTCTTCCGCGTAATCAGAAACAAGCTGATTTCTTATCCGGGACAACGTTGCAGATGCCAACTGGAACAGGTCCAAAAGGAGGACTCTCTCACCAACATATTTCAATTATCTTCCGTTACCGTTTTAAACGCCTAGTTATTACTCCATAAGAAGATTAATTGGAAATGTTTACAGCATGCGATTATGAATACGTGTACAATGGAACAGTGATGGTGCAGTGGGGTTAAATTATGAACCCGAGGACCTGAATTTGATTCCTCGCCACGGCTAAACATCAGTAGCAAGTGACATCTGAACCAGTCCTGAGCCGCCAGAATTTACAAGCACACACTGACCACAGCATGGTGAAGTATGGTCAACCTCCCCCCACTCCCCCATTACCAACATTGCATGGGGATGCCTTCATCCAGTGGTAGGTTTAACACAGGGCTGATGATTATGACATGTATTTCTTTATTAACATGATAATCGTGTATCGTTAATATCGCTGTTTAACCACTCAATCAGGGAGCGATTCTACCTTAAAGGCCTGCATTGATATTAGGGGTGTACTGTAATGATTCACTCGCCTCGCAGGGTCACAATTCAGAGTCGTGATTCTATTCAATAATTGATTATATTTTTGACATTGCAGTGAATGTAGCAGCACCTAGTGGCTAGGACAGAGTCACGTGAAACCATTATATACGTCTATGATTTGAAATAACATCGATTCTCATGATACACGTGATTTGAACGGGTGTATCGTGAGCTTACAAATGGAAATGAACCGGTGATTCGTCACGTTGTTACACCCCTAACTGTCCTGACACCTGATACATTTCGTTAGAACCAACAGGTCTCTCTCTCGTCCTCACTTTAGAGATGTTCAGTTCTTGTCTGCGGTAATCTCATTAAAAACACGGGCGTTCTAAACACTGGGCTCGGAAAGGCATGCGGTAGGCATTGTAGCGATCTGCAACTGTAGGCTCAAGTATTTTAGTACTCCTCAGTATGCGATGGCTGCACACGCCCACAAGACACACATTTGGTGACCGCAATGCATCGCCTTCTACGGAGACGTGAAAGCAGCAATCGTTTCAATTGTATCGCAAAAAAGACGGCACCATACCGATTGGTGTACGTACAGAAGCCTCCTGTATATAGACTTCACGCATACGTACATATATATATGTGTCACCTTCAGGAGGGTATTTCATATTCTCTGAATAGATTGACTGTCATGGCCAAGGCTGAAACGTGCACGACAACGCTCTTAACAAAGTCGCGCGACAAAACGTTCAAATGCAAACTTCGGTTGATCAGCGTGGAGAATCCCAACAGGTTAAAATAAGTTTTACGCAACGTCCAGCGTTGCGATGTGGCATGCTATTTATAAGCGTACGGTGCCATTAGCGCGGTGTGTTATTTGAAGTGCTGTTCCCTTTATTATAGGTAGGGAGCAGACTTGCAGCATGCGTGGCGTTTCCGCTATTTTCAGATCGGGCACATTTAGCTGGCAAGGCAGCACGCATTGCTTTCGTTCCTGGCATTATTCTGGGACACTGTGCCTGGCTGCCTAGACTGTCTCGCATACTTGTTAGATAATTCTACGCTCCCCTCCCACATGTGCAAGAGCTGCTACCAAAAATGAAGTGTGCTCATCTTCGGGCTCACTAACATCCACTGCGGGGAGTAGATCACTTTCCAAGATGGGGACACTTTATCTACGGGGGTAATTATAGTGTTTAATCTTGATGGCTATGCACGCAGATGTACTTGTACTTGCGATATTTACTTTTCGCGCGACAAGAAATAAATCCACATTCTGACTCCATCATCCTCCTCCTTACCGACCACAGCCGGCCAGCCTACCTTGCCGTGCAATATTAACCAATGAAAAAAAAAAGAGCCGGGATAAAACGTGCCTTTAATGTGCAGACTATCACCACTGATACAATTAATTCGGAAGAATTCACAGCTCACGGTAAATTACTTACAAAACGCACCGTGACCTTTTTAACGTGCGATCAAATCGGCTCAAGCACCTCTGGGAATTTGAATCTGAAAAAGAAAATCCTGCCGATGTGGATGGAAACTCGTGCGGTGCTCGTAACCCAACACGCTTCTCCTGCGTGCCTCCCGCCCAAATAGTACGTCGGCCGAAGAGAGCAGCGGCCGAGAAAAAAATCAAATGAATAACTATTGCTGCAAATCGCACATGGTGTACAGTATGCGCTTGCAAATAGATTTGTACATACCATTCTTTTTTGGTCCGCGCCATATCACAGCATCATTGGGGCTGCTGAGCAGGAACCCCACCGACATGACACCTAAATTCTCCTGAACATACTGCGAATGGAAAAACACATTATGAAGTTTGTAAATAAATAAATATATTTCCTTAAATAAGAATTTCAATTACTTCTCTACAGCCGTTGTGTCGTATGTTTATGCTTGCAACAGCTTTTCATCAGCGTCAGTATCACACTATTTCAAAAAGAAAAAAGCATTGTCGAATAACTAATGTCGAGTGAGGATTCGGTGCCCTTCAAAACCTCCAGATGCAAACCTCCCTAAACCCAGGTTCTAAAACAACGCCGTTAAAATTGTGGGGATTTCTGTCGTTGTAAGCATAGACTTGACTTTACGTACGAGCCAAATTTTGACTTGAAGCCCTTCTAGAACAGCGTTAGCATTTGCATAACTCACTCGTGACCTTTGATACAAGGTACGAAATCTATACTGTAATTATTTTTAATAGTACATTATCAGCACGAGTAAATTATCGCATATCATACCAATATAACACAATTAGTGGAAACAACCAAATGTATTATTTGGAAGAGGTCAGAGACCATTGCAATGCCCCTTTTTTAAATAAACATATCTCCACCACCACCACCACCACAGTATTGAGGGGGGAAAAAACAAATGAAGGTATCATGAATCCATTTAAAAGTTGAAAGTGAATGCAAGTTATTTTCATTACCAGACAAATTAAACCCACACTGCACCACTGCACAAACGTCCAATGGACACAAAGCCAAAGGATTCCAGCCAAGGTTACAAATAATGTCTTCAGGATGAGAACAACTCCTTTTCCACTTCCCGGGTGTGTTTATGCCGCTGTCACTCGAGAACGGAATGGCCGTGAAGGACTCCTGATTTTATCACCTCACACGGAGCTTTCAATATCGGTCTTTGGAAAAAAAAAAGGCTTCAGGATATATTTTGCCTCAACTGGTTTGCGAATATTTTTTTTTATGCACTGGATTTTTAATTTTACCAAAGACGGCCCCAGAGCAAGTGAGTCATCGTGCAATGACGCTGCCGGGTTTCAAACGATGGCTCAACAAGTCTGTCATAATATCAGGTTAGCAGACTGCGATAAAATTGGTTTAATTACAATTCACTACGTACATATGCATCAATAGATCGTTGTATTCAATTCGTGAATGTAATTTTACATTCAAGAATTATCTTTAATGAATTCAATGTTGAAACTATAAGGAATCAAGTTATCAATTAGAGTCAATTATTTTTTAACGTGCATTTCCATAATTGGGGGAACGGCAATATTTTGCTGCACATTACATAACTCGTCTAAATGTCAGAGTGCATACATATAAGATTAAACGTGAGAGTTTGCAGGACGTGTTGATATTTGCAAGAACAAAAAATTAGCATTTCGCTGGTAACCTCAAAATAGAAAATGCCTGTCGACCTCAAAGCGGAGGGGCTGAGTGAGATAGCCACTGCGTATGTCTGCCCACTCTCCCCGCCTCCCTGCCTCTACCAGTCATCGCTTCGCCCGCATGCGATGGCGGTTCAACCACAATTTGTGAATGCTAGGAGGGTTATGGTTACTACCTCTGGGGGGGGGGGGGGGGGCGGCAGGGAGGAAATCCGCGGCATATCATGGTAAAAAGAATAATGATTTCTGGTAATGCCGGAAGAAAGGAGAACTACATGTGGTGCATTCATAAATACACAACTAACAAAAACAACGGGACCTTTAATCGTGCCCGGGAAGACTTGCAGATTTCCCAGGACAGCTACTTCAAAAAGAGGACGATTCAGTGAAAACAGGATGGGTGGCAACCCTAGCGGGGGGTTTTCGTGGTTCCTTTCCTCCAGTGTTGTCCTACGTTTGTTGATTCTTGTTCGTTCGTTTGGTTGTTTACCCCTCTCACAACTGTTTTTCCACGCGGTGTTTCTGCAATTCTTATTTGTTTAGAGACACCGTTATTTAAGCCCTCAATATATATATAAGAATCGGTATCCCTAACCTGTGTTTATTCTGGTTGCGTAATCATAGTCTGAAAATTAAGTCCAAAGTAACAAAACATTTTTTTACAAACCAGCCTGCGGACAGATTTAACGGCTGATTACTCTATTCGCAGTCCAGTGATGAGTCACTGCGGTCAGCATTGCGTATATGAAGCTGCACATGGAAACCCAGAAATCCATTATAGGGTTGAGGTATTTAGGCCATTATGATTAGCATAGGCGACATGGGGAGGTTTGAGAGGGCAGTGGCGCGTTGGTTCGAGCACTGCGCTGATGCCGCCTTATCTGAACTCGATCGCTGGCCACGGGCAAACATCGGCTGCCAAATCGGCAGCCAGTGACAAATGAAATTGCCCCTGGGACTTCACCAACTCGCAGTGGCCAGCGTGTTCAAGTACGGTCAACCAATCCCCATGACTATAACACAGTTGGTGGAGTTAGGCCTTCATCCATTAGTGGATTGACAAAACGGCTGAAAAATCGGAATTTTATATAATTTTTTAAATATTATTTTTTTAGTTTATGTCATAATTAGAATTATTGCGGTAGGAATTCAAATGCATGCTATCAGCCATTTCATTTTCTCAACAGTTACAAATATTTCGCTTGAAATCTCATGGAAAATCTGAATTTTAAAATGTGAAAAATGAAGTTGGGGACTTTGTATCGAAAACGAATTCCTGCTTCTCATCTTCGGCGTAGAAACCTTTGGAAGCTGCTGCTTTTATGTCTGTCCAAGGCCATGCTCACATCAAATACAAATTAACCTCGAAAACCACCTAGGATTTGCTCAATTTTATCTTTCATTCCACCTCATGCTTTATCTCACAAACTAGCTAATCCACTCATCACTGCCATCTCTACTTCAAGACTGGCTATCACCTCGCTCTTTTCAACTCCAGAATGAGATTCACTGGACGAAGTTAATCTTAAATGCATACACCCATAACTCAGTCTCTTATCGACACAAGGTGATTATTCAGGACCAAAACCCTCAAAGTCTTTGATGCCCCCCAGAGCACTGAAGTGGACTGTACCCGGGACAAAAAAAATACTCCATTAATGGCCCAAACACCTGGAGTGTCATTACTTCCAAAATATCCTGGTTTACTTTCCCATATAATTCAGAATTTGATGCCAAGCTGTCGATTCCGTGTGATGACTTCACTTGCAGCCGTATTTGACGTAACATAGCAGTGCAATAAACGTATAGTCAGTATAAATGTGTTTATAAAACTTAATTTTAATTAGAATGGTTTTCAAAAGTAATTTGTCCAAGCCAACCTTTGTTATAGGGCAATTTATTTTATTTAATATCGTTTGCATTTTGTGCAAGATTTTGATTTCTTCCGTGTATTGCAGCTGTTTTTTGTTCCAATTTCTATTTGGTTATTTTTGCTCCGATTTCTGTTAGCTTCATCTCTGTACTTGTATTTACGTTATTGCTTTTACCATGTTGGTGACCAAGGGCACCCTTTGCAATTGAGACTATCCTTGTCTCTTGAGTTCTCACCGATTGAAAATATACTTTAAATTGTCCTGCTGTTGTCTCTCAATGTAATTCCAAACATCCACCTATCTACGCTCCTTTGAACTTTGCACACTTTCCATCATTTGCACTTTCCACTTCCATTGTTAATGTCCATGTTTCTGTATGTTGATTCTAAATGTGGAGGGAAAAACCGGAGGGCCCGGAGAAAAATCCACACGACCACGGGGAGAACCTGCGAACTTCAAATGTACAGGCATCAGGGTCGGAATTGAACCCACGACCTCCTGTATACCGTTAACATTTCACCACCCTGGCGCCCTATATACACCTTCTTTAAACAAAATTCAATATTTCCAAGGACAAATACTTTGGAAAGTGTTACAGAAGCCATGCATATGCATGGGTTTTCCTCGTTGTTATGTGAAGGACGATATAGAAGGAAGACCGGAAAGGGAAAAGGACGAGAGGAAGGCCAAGGATTTGGACGGTGGAGGAGGAGCTGAAGGAACGGGGCATTCGTGGAAATGAAGAGGAGAGCAAGGAGCTGAGGAGGATGGAGAAATTGACAACCAAGGACCCTGCTGTCAAGGCAGAGCGCCAACGAGGATGTCAGACGTTGAATTTTGTATTTTTGTTGTTCGCATGCTACAAAGCCAGGAGCAACCAACGCAGAAGCTTATGGATGACTTCGCGTGCCACTTTTGGATCGCGTGGGGAGTGAACTCATAAACACCGCCCATTTGTTGTGTTATCGGGGGGGGGCACGGAGATTATCTGTGAGTGCTGTGTCACCCTCTGGGTGCGACGCTGGGCTAATCCTCAGTTTGGAGGAGGCTGTGAGGCGACGGCGAACATTCACCGTGCCCATGTTACACGACGGCTCTCTCTCCAGAATCTACAACGCCACGCGCCGCGGTTTTCTGTAGGCTGCAGCATGACAATGCAGAGTTGGCACAGCAGCGCTGGATTGTAATTGCGTTGGTTAGCCAAGAGTTGCGCACAGCGAGTCATGACTTTCTTTTTATAGACATGATCAATGCATGAGAAATCCAATTACTGAAGGTAAATAAAAAATACTGTATCGTCAAATGACAATTTTAAAAAAACCATGACCCATCACAACAAGTTTAATAGTCAACCAATGCAGGTAATGTATTATAACATTTTGAAACATTCTAGTTAAGTTAAAGAACATTTTTCTGGCATAACAATTATAAAACCATGAATAAATCCTCACACGAAAATAACTGTGTCTTTTGTACATTTCTTCCGATTGTTCCTCGAGACCATGAACACTGGTTATACCATGGTCTCATGTGAAAACTGCCCAGCAAAAAAATGATAATGGACAGAAAATGTTGGGTTAGTGCCTTCAACATACATTTTGTTGTTTAAATAAATAAGCCAAACATGTGGTCATACAGACTTTAGACAAATTGTGGCCATACAGACTTTAGGAAAGCACAGGGTATTTTTGGAATATGCTAGATTGGAAATTTCACAGATTGACATGGGCACGGAAGCACAAATTGGATCCTGCCTACCACTGTGACAGTCAGCCATTGAAACGACCAATTCCATAATCTGGCACAAGGGCTGCAGCAGAAGCAGTCGTGTGGCAATGGACACGGTACCGTCAATCACACCACACCCTTCTGCTGGGCCCAGGAAGGCAAGCGTTTAAATAATAAAGTCTGAAATATCTGTGCCCTAACAGCTTAGAGACGACACATCAGTTAAAAATAATGCAGACATGTAAGCGGATCAAGCGATAAAGGGTGGAATAACAAATAGTGTCCTAATTTACAACAAATTCTACATTGCATATAACATTGCAATAACTTCCAGCCCTTTGTCAATCTACTTTCTGGAGAAAGGACTCCCCATGCCGTGTCCATCGTGGGGGTAGTTTTGGTCAATTGGTGAATGGGGTGCACCCAGGATGGGTTTGGATGGCGCTCACTCCTGATGCTAGCCATGGGTGGGAACCAAAACTCAGCTCGCAGGGTTCAGAGCAATGCGTCCCCCACTGCTCCGAACATGTCATACACTGCTCTTTATCTAAGCGTGCGTTGATTTATACGTGTACTGTGAAGTAGCGACCAATGATCTATTGCATGTTGTTTTGTGGTGGATTGTCAAGTCGCTTACCACAAGAGACCAGCCCGCGCCACTCTGATGAACCTAAAAAGAGAGAAAAACAAAACCATCAATAATTAAAAACATATCAACAAACAAAATAATGTTGGTTTGTATAAATATTATATTTATGTTTGGCCCTGGTATGAAGCTGCTACTATATGTGATGACACCGGAGGATGGGATATCAGAGAATAACACTGGTTTACAAAAACAATTGCAGAATTGCAAGAATCACATTTGGGGATGACATAATTCAACTTGTCTTCATTTAACCTCTGAAATGCGATACAATGGAGAACAAACATAACATTTGCGATAAGAAAAACAACCCAGGCAGGGCTTCAGTCGTGTACTACAATATAATGCTATAGCACTCGGTCCTTTGGTCTTTTTGAACCGCTTCAAACGATTAAAATGAAGTTGGTACCGTGCAAAAACTGACACCGCGGAGAATTTGGAGAATGCCCTAAGCACCGTTTTGTGCAGCTGCTTCTACTGCTGCTACACAGGCTTCATTTCCCCTGCAGTATACACAGCTCCATTACTCATGTCCACTAATACAAGCACAGTTAGGACACTTGGAATTTGAATTTGACGTGCCTGATTTTATATATGTATACATATATAAAGTAAACCTACAAGCAGCAATGCTGCAAAAGTATGCAGAATACTGACTCAAAGACGATTAAATAATCTATCCGATTTATCTTTTGCCAACGAGTAAAATGAATGATTCAAAGCAGTCTCACGTAATGTATGTTTACATTGGATGCTCTTTTCGGCATGCCAGAGAAGCTACGCCCTATCAACAAAGAGTGACTTTCATGCACTTTGCTACATCAATGCATTGATTTGAACCCATGTACAACAATTCCTTTGTACTGCGAATGTCGCCAGAAGACACACACACGGACGGAGAGCGCTCGTGCAACTTCTACTTGAAGCAGTTTCGCTGATAAACACGGCCACTTTTCTTGTGCGTGACAAGAATACTCGCGAGCAACAGTGGCATCTTGTACTGTGGCCGTGCTTCTGTGCGGGGCCCGTGGGTAAGCACAATCGGTTCATTTAGGACCATTACAGAAGCTGTCATGCTGCTGAATGGAAATGCAAAAGGAGTACGTTATCACACAACTTCGAGATTTACCGGCTTTGAAATTATTCAAAGTAATGAACTGCTCAAATAGGTTTACGCCGTGAAAACTGTCAACGGAAAATGCTTTTGTCATTCAGGTGGACGGGCGCCTACAAAGGGTAACGCCACACGCACGGCTGAGCACTGAGGCAGCAACCGCACGGAGGGCCTCATTTCAAGGCCCAACCCTCAAAGTCAGGTTCTCACCTTGGCAGCTGTGAGGCATTCATTCATTCCACTCGCACAGAGTGAACACTCACCCGTTCATTTGCAGGCGGCGAAGCATCCATAACAGAGATGCCGTAGAAATATCGAAATTTGGCATAGGCCTGCTATGCGGTATAACTTCCAGGTCATTTTAAAACTGGATGCTTGCCGGGATTGCTTAAAGGGGTTTTGAAATAAAAAAAATCCTTGTTATGCGGCTCATATGTATGTACCGTACGTAGCCAACCGTGCTAATCGGAGGTGCACATGATAAAGGTGCACATGATAAGGTTTTGTGGGTTAGATCGCGACACAGCCAATTGGTAAAGTTTGTCACGTGACACATTGCATTGGTTGTGAAAGCCCACGTGTTAAATTGACTCATAACATAACTGTTAAATAACTACATTTCGTAGAGGGGAAAATGGCAACAACAAAAAATTGTTAATGACTTTTAATTAAAAATGTTTGTTTTAAAAAATATACAAGGCTAACAACTGGATAAAAAAGTAACGAAGAGCACACGTAAACCATGATATAATAATGATGTATAGATGCCAGTATTACATTAGGTACCACATATATAGTACAGTACTATACAGTACGTCATGTATCCGACCATCCACCCAGGCCAATTACCTCCTCACCCAGTGCAACATCTGCACATTGAGTAACTTTGGCTTTGTACAGATGTCCACAAACCCGACCATTTCACACACGGCCGCGCATTCTTAATCTCGAGTATGTTCTCTCACGTGTAAAGCAGTACATAATTTCCACATGTATCAAAAAACACTTTTTTACTGTGCATGTGTCTCAGAAACCTGTCTTTGCAGCGTGTAAATGTCATTTAGTTTTTCTTCATAGATGTTCACATTTTCTCACCCTTTCACAGCGTATTCATAACCACTGGCACGGTGTTGTTTGCATGGAAAAACACCAAATAGCACCTCAATGGACCAAAACATAATGCAGAAAACAGAAGCATAAATGGGGGAACAATCCTTGGGGTTGTTTTAAATTTGCCTAAATTATACAAAACAAAATCATCCGAGTTTAACATGTTTCACAAAAATGCACTTCTATGTATGTTTTTTTTACTTCTTTTGCACCATACGTAGCCAAACATGCTAAAAAAAAGTGTACAAAGAAGCAGAGAGAGATACATGCCTGGAATGACACTCCTAAAAATATAGTAAGAGCAAAAACTCGGATCACAGAACAAATGCAAATTAGTCTGCTAATTGACTGGAAAGCAAGCGGGTGGGCATGGGCAGGACACATCACGGAGAGAGAATGGGCACTGGGGGAGTGCACACCCCAGGGGATGAGCACCACGGATGTGGAGGGATGAGATCAGCTCGTGTGCAGAAGCGAGATTGGTGCATTGTGGGACCGTGAGGCTTTATCACTAAACATGCCTAATAAAAAACACAACTGCAACCCAAAACATGAGTCAGTCACCCAAGTGTGTCGCGAAGGTGGCTCCCAACTGATTCGGGAAGTCACGTGGTCTATTCTGTTCAAATGGAAATGGGGAGGAGTGTTGTCATTTCTCCAGTAGCCATGTTTGTAGCCATGGCGGTACTGGGTGCCGTCACCAGACAGAAGGACAGGAAGTGGCAACCCAGGGCATCTTCTCTGTCTTTAAGGTGCAGTATAAGCACTCGCACTTACCTTTACGTTACAGAGTAATTCAACACCATCATCACAAGCACAGTAATATCACATGAAAACAATGAAAGTTCTACAAAACAACTAGATAGTGTTCAGTTCAAATCATCCCTCAGGGAAACGTTTCTTGTCGTATATGAGGGAGCAACGAGTTACTTCAGAAAAGCGAAGTTTTAATTCATTAATCTAAGATGACACAGATGGCCCCTTTGCCTGAAATCTCCAGAATGTATCCAGGCCCCAGTGGCAGCCATCACGCCCTAGGAAGTTGTTAAATATTCCCTCTTTCAGTTTCTAAGCCAGACCCATCAAGTCTGTTGACACCCCGTCACGTTTGGAAAGCTTCTCATTCTAGTCGGCATCGCTCCGCATTCAAGTCTCCAGACCCCCGGCACTTTTCTCCAACGCCTCCCAAGTCGTCTCAGGTTTTTTTTAGTCTCAGATCTCACTGCGGTGAGAGTAAAACATTGCCGGCCCTTGCCGTTCACTGCAATTACTTGCTTTCCAATGGTGCCTCTGTTGATGTGCGCTCGGAATCATTCATGATCCCTCTCCGTTGTCCACAACAATGTTCTTTCTCATACAGTGAAGGCAGGAGAGAACTTCTCACCTGATGGCCTTGCAGCCCCATGATTCTTGGAATAGATGGACCGCAGATGTCAATGTCCAACAGAGCAACCTGAAAACACAGTTTTAAAAATATTTTGAATGGATATACTGTACTGTCTATCAATAAACAAATTAAAACTTATATTCACATTCAAATTTCGCCCCTTTATAAAAAAAAATACTCTGGGAAAAAAAAGTGAAAACTTAGAACTACAAATGCTTCACTGTCATGTGTGAAGATAGAAAGATTTAGAATGCATCATGCTGCGTTGTATAGCATAATGACATCAATCAAAATTAGATCATGAATTCACTAACCCTAATATCATGATAAACCTTTGAAGCATCTGTAAATAACAGCACTATAAACACAACGTTTTAAAACACACACACACACTTAGAATGTGCAAAACCACCCGTGTATTGATTCAAACGCTCATGATAAACGCAGCAAATTGAACGTGTGAGAACGGATTGAGATATATATGTAAATTGCACGCTAAATACACCTGGAGGCTAATGGAGTGAACAAGACAGGGCAAACGAAACATAAAATATCAACGAGGAAATAAAAACCGACAATAATAACTGATTTCTCAATCAAATTGAGACACCCTGAATCACAACCAGCTCTTCAAATGGCCACGAGAGTGAATCATTATGTGCCTAATATGTAATGTGATAATATTTTAAGATTGAAATGTGAAGTAATTCAAATTAAATTGACATTGTACTCAAATGGCCCCTTACGGGTTATTTGCATCATTAACCTCCAAAGTACTGACTTCACACACTGCGATGCCAACCAGTGAGTCAACCCCAGAGGTACGCTACGGTTAATTGGAAATAGCTCGGAACGAAAACCATTAACGAACACTGAAATTAGTGCAACCTGATAACAACATAAAAAAGATAGAAAATGTCACGCTGGATGCCAATAGAGAAAAGCTTTGAAAGCGGTCCAGATTCCCTTGGGAGCTACAACTCCTAATTTGCAGAGGACGTTGAGAACAGAGTTCTACAGAAGATATGTTAAAGCGATCACATCCACCAGTGAACATCCTTTAATGGGGCCAACAGCACTCACTGCCATTACAGAAGGTGTTCCCAAAACGCACAAAAAGTTGCCAATTCATCACGGAGTTAACAGCATATGATGACAGCGTTGGAGTTAAACACTGCATTGGCGCAGTGGTTAGCACACTGCACTATGCACCCAAACACCCGAGTTTGATCACTGGCCATGTCTAACGTGACATCTGAACGGGATTGAACTGGTAATGGACCTACCCCCGCACCCCTTTACAACCCACAATGACCTGTGTGGTGAAGTATGGTCAAACAGCCTCCAAATGTCCATGACTGACACAGCACGGGAAAGCTTTCAGACAGCAGTGGATTGGCGTTTAGATAAATGTTTGCCTCCAAATTAATATAATTTCCAATATGATAGAAGGGTATGGGAGTTTCAATATGGTCGATACAGACAACGTACTGCAATGGGGAAGCCAGTTTAAATGTGGAGCTTCTCCAGGCCAAAGGCCGTAATGTCATCAAGACATGGGGGATTTATTTATTGAGATTTGCGAAGCACTGGCAGAGAGAAAGAGTGGCTATAACATTTAACAGAGAAGACGGTTTCACAAGGTAACGTTGGCAATGGGTGGATTTCCATATTTCAAGCACCAAATTGCACAAGACAAACTTGCAAATTAGAGGAGATACTGTAAGCTTTTTTGATGTACGATCGCGGTAAAAGAATCAAGGGAAGAATGCTCAGGGAAAATGAGTTGCAGTCACTTTGTGCAGATTGTTCAAATGACTAGAATGAGCAAAAGAGTAGATTTACACTTTGCTTTTCGAAATTGTTATGAGATGTTGCATTTACAGATTATGCAATAAGTTACTGAAGAGTACATGTTTCAACAGAACGGTTACTATGGAAATCATGAAACACGTGGCTCTGGTTTCGAGTTTATACGAATTTATATGACATATATAGACCCAATACACCTTCACTTCCATTAGCAGCTCTTCCAACATAAAAAATAGACGAGCATACTTGCATACATAACTAATGCCAGGACTTTCATTAGAGTGTACGAGTCAAATGAAATAAAGGAATTCCATTACCTTCAGTAATGCTTACACGCATTTTTAAATAGACTTGAAACATTTCACAATTGGGTGTAATAAACTGTCATGGCTAAGGAGAGTAAATAGCTTGAGTGAGTGACACTGGGATTATAGAGGCGCATATGCAATATAATCCTATTATCCGCATTGATCTCTGGGAAACCTAATGTCGCAAGGCGATCGACCTACCCACAACTCATCAACAACTCCAATGAATCAAAAAAATTCCATCCCGCTCACGAGAGAGTGTGGAGTAATGCCCATCTTTGTTGGCAAGTGGTGGAAAATCCACATTACGATGGCAGAGATAAGCCCCTCTTTCGTATGGCTGCTCTGGACGGCTCACAGGGGTGCTGCTCGTAATATTGCCCCTGAGGAGCCGATGGGCTGAGTCAAACCAGCAAGTAGCCATTTAACGCAAGGCCGTGGAATTGTTAGTCGCTCCGCCACAGTGCCATCTGGCATTCGGCCTTCAACTTGGCAGCAGGCTTCTGGGTGCCAACAACGAACAACAACCAACGCCCATCATTAGCAACTTGCCGTTCCTCAGCCCTGCACATATACCAGGGATGACACATTTCACCTTACTGGGAAAAAAGAGCTTCACAACTCATCCGGATTCCCCCAGTATAAATAAGGATTCTGAGTCTGATATTCCATTACAGTCAGCCAATACTGCCTGCACAATATGAAAATGCCACACCCCAGCCACCCGTGCCATATATTCCCTGCCCCTGTTCCAAGTCCAGGCTCAATGACCTTCTTAAACTCTTCAGCCTATAACCACGTCTTCTCCTGCCACTGCTGGTGGAAGCCCCACCACTCAAGGGAGCTCTCGAGTATTTACACTCCTTTTCTCGAGTATGTTCGCATATACACTCTACATATCACTGTCTACATGATGCGCATGTCACACTCTTTTTTGGCCAATGTCTTGAGATGTGGTTGTACTGTACTGTGTTCCATTTCATACGTCCCGCACCTCCGATTAGCTACGTACGGTGCGAAAGAAGTTCAACATACATACACATCGTTTACCTTTCACGGCAAAGGAATGGTTACCATTCATGCGCCTACATCTACAGACGTAGAGTCTCAAAGTATATTTTCTATTTACTTTGCTAGGGCCGAACTCGTTGACGAAAACAGTATTATAAACGACTCCCGCTACAAAACAAAATTCGTTTTAGCCAACGGAGGCTTTTTGAGAGGTGATTAAGATAAACATGCCACGGCAAGCGCCGCAAGGCTTGCCATAGCAAAAAGCTTCAGCGCCCGTTTTGTTTTTAAAAGCTCGTGAAAAGTCCATTAGCACAACGAGATGTTGCCCACCTGTTTGGTTTTGTCCTCCGCAATGCCACGAGCCAGCTGAGTGCTGAAGGTGCTCTTTCCCACGCCGCCTTTTCCCGACAGCACCAGCACCTTGTACTTCACAGAGGCCAACCTCTCCTTTATTTCTTTAATCGCTGCAACAACAACACACAATCAACCCATTAGTGGAGCTCAAAGGAGTACCGATCGCAGCGCGGCGAAAAACCCGTGGTCTGGGCAACACCCTGGGCCAGTGTGCAGCATACTAATGCAACGTTACCGCAAATCAATTTCGCTTTAAACAAAGATATATCTCATCGCTGCACAAATGTTACAGCATTAAACATTGAAAGGACGAAGCCGCCCGACAGAAGGTCAAGTCAGAGGTTGTGTGTACTTAGTGTGTAGAGCTATTCTGTCAATCCACTGCTGAATGAGGGCCTCCCCACTTCACGTGGGTTCATGGGGGTTATTTGCCCATACTTCACCATGCTGGTCAGTGGGGGTGGTGGTGAAGACAGCGAGCATAGACATTGCCATGTAGTACAGTACAACTATGCATTTGCAACATTGTCCTTTCCTGCTGTCCACAATAATCCAGGTGTAACGATGTTAAAACGCTGGACAGGACTGATCTCGAGTGGCAGTCAACAGCGGGAAGTGGAAATTGCGCATTCCTATGATGGAACTGAGCTTTTCCACACTGCTCTGTGGATTTATCAAACATCATCACTTGGGGAAATGGTCGCGCGGGTAACAAATGTTTGATGTAACTTAGACCTGTAATGATCCAGCCTCTCCCCACCATACGATTCAATACATCTACTCGGTTCAGTGTTATGATTCGATTCCAGGATCGAAAACAACTTTACATTGTGGAAAACGTAGCGCCTCTAGTGGCTGCAGGGATCATTATGATAATCATCATCAGCCATGAACTACAACCTTCTGGATGAAAGCCTCATGCCCGAGTCGTCGCGTTCCTCGCGGTCTCGGGAAGCGACGGTCCAATCTAGTTCCTGCACCCGAGCCGATTTCATTGCTCCATCTCCACAGCAGACCGAGAGATGAAGTCGATGTGTTCCCTCCTTGCACTGTCCTTCCATTCCCCAGCTACATCCGTTTGCCACGCATCTTTCCAGGTATGTGTCCTGCCCAAGCATTTAAAAAAAAATTCCTGACAGTGAGGTGTCGCTCACTTGTGATCGTTCTCTGATCAACGTGTTTCTCTTTTTGTCTCTTCTATTCGTGTTGAACTTCTTTTTCGCACCGCTCTTAGCCAACCGTGCTAATCGCCGGTGCTAATCTCGAGTGTCATCCCAAGCATGAATCTCTCCGTGCTTCCTCGTACACCACTTTTTGGGTTTTACTCCATTTGCTTAGTAAGTGTCCATGTTTGCAAGCGGTGTCATGGCAGGTCACATTGCACTCATTAAAATCGTTCTAATTCAAGCACTGTGGTACGTAGCTTTTCATTTTCAAATGATTGGATACATCAAAAGCGCTTCCTCATGTTCTTGCTCACCTATTTAATTAATTATTCTGATCCAGATTCGCCTTCCAACAATTTCCCTCGGTGTCATTCCCTCCAACGTATATTTAGTAACCTTGTTGTACGTGACTTTTGTTATTTTCTTATACAATAAACCTCGTTATTTCGGTATTTGATCATTCGTAATTGGGGATAATTCGGCATATACTGGATATTGGTAATTCACCATGAGTCGAATTGCCATGCCGAATGGTCCAATTTCGGCATGGCGCGTGGAGCGATGCCGCGCGTCACGACCAAAACAATGACTTGGTGTCGTGGCGGTACGTGTGGTGAGCATTTGTGCAGACCTGTTGCTTTGGACTTTACCTTGTTTATATGCACTCTGTGCAAGCCAACCCTCTCAGAAATGTCGTCTTCACCTACATCAAGAATAGAAAGGGACTGAAGTATACAACCCTTAGCCTGCGAGACGAATCCAAAGTTTAGGATATAATTGGTGCAGACGTATCAATGCGTATTTTCTTATCTGGTTACTGTTGGTAAGTGTTACTTTTTTTGGAGAATAATTATTGGAAAGCAAATTTTTATTTTTATATTAGGGCAGGAGGCATTGTACATAATTCGGAATATTGGCTAATTCGGCAAAGCCAGAGCTCCATATGTCTCGAATTAACAAGGGTTTACTGAATTTATCTTTGAGCTCAATTTTGCAGCCTTGATTTCTGAAGTTTTTCAATCACTTTCCATCATTCATTTCCAATGGTTGCCACAACAACTGTCATCGGCAAATCTGAGACGGTTCATATTTTTCTCCACTTATATTGATTTCTCCAATCCCAATTTTCACAAAATGTTTTCTAACATTGCTGTCAACACCTTTTTTGAGGGAGCACATCTCCTTGCCCGACACCTCTTCCGCTTTGTATCTTGTTACTTTCTTCATCGGCCGTCATAAATTGCTTTGCTCGTTTATATCAATGCCCTTATTTGCGTAAAAAAGCATTAAAATGGCAAAACAAAATCAAATCGACGATTGGTCATTGACAACTGGTAGGCAGCGTGAGGTAGGATTACAGCGCGCACGTGAAGAGAGAACCATGAAGCGACCAGAGATGGGGGGGTGCCAGGAGAAGACTTGGGAGGATACAATGGCACCAGACGAGCCGGCCGATAACCCCTCACCATTACCACCGTCTTCAATGGTTAAAGCATTTAATGTGGAAAAATCCCGTAAGACGGAGCATCATGTTTGCAAGGGTGTTTCATCACTGCTCATTTTAATAAGTGTGACAATTACACCACTTTGGGGGCCACTTTGGAGGCCTACCTCAGCTTTCTGAGCCTCTTCGCCAGCTTGTAGGGGCCCCTGTGAAAAACTGCAGGGTCTCCCGACCAGCCCGCTATACCCCTTAACCTGGGGGGCCCCAAGTTAGCACACTAAGTTCAGTACCCCTGCTAGACAAGTTGCTTCGCCTACTTCAGACCATCCAACCCTTAGACATGCTCGAGGAGGCCCAGTTGGCAGGGAGAGAGGAAGCAAGGACTTTGGTGAGTTCTGTTACAGATGCCCGTGTCAATCATCAACGCATGAGTCCTCCCCACACCCCTCAGTCAAAAATAGATTAACCAGTGCGCGTACGCAATTGAGCACGTGCGGTTCATTGAAGCACAGTTAATCAAGTCTACTAGATTGACAGTGAGGTGAAGGTCAAAGGAGACCAGAGGACGGAAGAGGAGGACAAATGACCTCTCGTCGTGAGAAGAGGACAGACGAGAGAAGGATTCCCTCCGACAGCAGGCGGAACGAGAGACAGAGGACGTGGAGGGTAATGAGGTCACAAAAATGGGTAAGAGAAAAGCCATACATTATTTCTTTATATTTACAGAGATTATGTAGCTGATATGCAATTCAATAGGAAGCCAGGAAATGCACTTAATGACAGGTTTAATATGGTCCCATTTGTGATTTGGAGTGATTACGTTGGCAGCAGCCTTCTAAATAACATTATCTCCTGGGCGAAGGTGCCACAGGGAGTTATGGCAAACCTGGTACATTGGCAGGGAGAGGGGTGGCACACAATACACAACAAAAACCCCCACGAAACATCCCCTTGGCTACGATGGATGGCATGCAGGGTAGTGAGACCCAAACGACCAATTCTGACCATTAAAAAAAAATGTAATAGTACATAAAAAATAAAGGTCTTCTGTATTTGTTAGGTTAAAAAGAGTGTGGCTCTGTCGAGATACAATGTAGATGACAGGTAGGACTCAACAAAGCCTTGACGATTGCTTGTGTTGCGATCGAAACATCGTAGTTTTTTGTAAATTATTTTGTTCTACGTGACTTTACCGAAAGACCCAAAGAATACGAATACAATGTTTGCACGAGCCGCTGCTCAAACCCTCATCCATGCTTTCATCACAGCTCGACTAACGACTGCAACGCTCTCGTATGTATGGATAACTTCTTTCCCACCGTACGTAGCCAACGGTGCTAATCGGAAGTGAAGTACTATTAGATTTGTTTAAACAGTCCAGATGGTCCAAAATGCCACTACCAGACTTCTCTTCCACGTCCGTGAAGGAGACCACACCGACACTCCTCCAATCCCTCCATTGGCTCCAAATTCCAGAGAGTACATTGTAATCCGAGGCAGCGAATTGAACCCATGTCCTTTGTGTATCGGGCAAGGTCTCCACCCCGCCCGCCTCTGTACGGTCACCCCATGGTGCTGTGATTAGGAATTTAAAGAGTTCAGTAAAGTTGTTTCAACCTAAGCAGGGATACATGAACAACTGAGCGTGCTGGCACTAGTCAGGGTAAATACTGATGGAGGATAAATATATTATGTTTAGGCAGGTTGGAGTTATTACAAAATATGAAGCAGTTTTATCTTTGGACAGATACCTTCGTGATGTAAACTTGTTTTCTTACAGTTCTAAACTTGAATTCTTATAACGCTTATCATGGCTTGAGTCTGTTAACCATAGGGAATTAGGTTTTGCTGTCACTCTGTTGGCATATTGAATTTCCTGTGCATGCTTCTATTACCAAACATGCCTCTCCGTCATGAAAGAAATAATCCGGTCTTTGTGTTTGCTTCACATTACATTCACAAATATAAAGAAACAGCATTATAAGGAAACACTGCACAACCATGAAGGACTCACACCTTTTGAGACCTCCTTTGCCAGTATTTAATTATGATAGGGTTTTGCCCTTTCTGGCAATACAACAGGTTAACTTTTGATTTAAAGCTTTCGTGACTGCACGGATTCATATTCCTGGTTCTTTCGGTAAAGTCACGTAGAAGGGAAATTATAAAATGATATAAATATAAAACAATAAAAATTCTCACGACGTTTCGACTGCAACACAAGCAATCATCATCAGGTGTGAAATCCACACAAGCAATCATCATCAACTGTGAAATCCACAGCAGGTGTGAAATCCACAGCAATAAAATGTTCTTGCTATGGATTTCACACCTGATGATGATTGTTTGTGTTGCAGTTGAAACGTCGTGAGAATTTGTATTGTTTTATATTTTAATAATTTTATTATTTCCCTTCTACGTGATTTTACCGAAAGAACCAAGAATATAATACAACAGGTGTTAAGATGTTAAAACACCAAACTGAAACCTTTGCAAGGAATCATGTCTGCATTAACCACATTTACTTGTGGTGAACATGCAAACAAAAAAAAAACATGCTCTGACAGTATATGGTGTGCATTGTCGTTGAAACTGATTGGTCCACACAAGAGACAGCTTTCTTTAGAGCCGAGTCTCAAACAGTGTTAGACCAGAGGACGCTCACCCCGAGCTCTCAATGTCCTGATAGTGCGTTGTCTTTGTGCTGTTCACCTTTTGGCGTCCTCTGGTCTAACACAGTTTGAGACTAGGCTCTAAAGGAAGCTGTCTCTGGTGTGGACCAATCAGTTTCAAAGACAATGCACATACTGTCAGAGCATGTTTTTTTGTTTGCATGTTCACCACAAGTATGTGTGGTTAATGCAGACACGATTCCTTGCAAAGGTTTCAGTTTGGTGTTTTAACATCTTAACACAACTATTTTATTGTCAGAAAGGAGAAAACGCCATTATCATGACTCACACCTTCATTAAAAACCCATCTTCTCATCTCCATCCATACAAACATCACACATTATATCTTTCACCATTACATTTTTGCCCAAGATACCCACCAAATGCATATTGTATATATTTAAACGTATTGGCGCTATTAAGTTAGTTAAAAAAAAGTGTTAAAATACACAGTATTATTCTTAAAATGATGAAATCCAATGGGGAAAAAGCTTCAGATTCAGTATACCTTCAAATACATATTATCCAAAAGACGTGTATAAATTAATTCCGGGTACCTGGATCTGGAGCCTTCGTCACGCCAGATGCACACACTGTCTGGTTGGGGCATCCTTGGCAGGCCGACACCTTCCCGGCCTGCTCGCTGCTTGTTCCAGGGCAGTCTGTGTATAATAAATACAAAGACACCCCATTTAGCAAGTGCTGTTAGAGAGCACCTATGAATGCCGGCATGGCACACGAGGGGGCGGGTGGCCAGCACCACGCAAGGTTGCCAGCACCACGCCAGGTTGCCTTTGTCTCCCTGGTGGCGATGTTTACACACCGCACCAGGTACTCGTTTAAGTCTGAACCAACCTAAGTGAGGCCCAAGACCAGTTCAGATAATTGTCACTGGTTTTGGTCGTGAGCGGGAATCGAACTGCATATAACACGTACACACACACACACCAATGTCCACTGTGTATATACCTCTACAAACTGTCCTGGCAAAATGCTTTTTTCTCTGTGGCTGCTCCAATCATTTGGAAATGCATCCCGCTACACAAACGCAGCAGCAGCATCATCATCATGAAATCCACCTCCACTTCTGAGCGACATTGGAAGGCTCATATTAGGGGCCGTCCATAAATTACGTCACACACCTAGGGGGGGGGGGGGGTCAGACATTTGTGACGATGTGTGAAGAGGGGGGAGGGGGGGTTTGAGAAATGTGACGTCACGTAAAAATGTGAAACTTTTAATAAATATAAACAATAGAATTGTTATAACACTAATTTTGATAAATTTTCATTATTAACTATTTGATTATTTAAATTTACTAAGGTCACCTTTTATTTATTCCATGAAAGAGCATTTTATTTCTCCATGGGAGAGTGGAGAAGCATACATTTTGTAATGTTTTTAATGATTGTTATTAAACATTTTTATTTTAATTATTCTACCAGGGCTTTTATTCTGTGGAATGAATGTGATTGATATAATTACTTTGTTCTACAACAAAGTTTTAAGTATTTTTTATAGTTATAATTCCTTTTAATATTTTATAATTATAAGAGAATTTCAATATAATATTCTGAACATCTGCAGTTTTAGTTAGACGTTGAATATTTTCAAGTGAATTTTATGCTAAATTTCAGCTTTCCAGCGCCACATTAAATACGCACTACAATGACAATAGTTTAAAGTGATTTGAAGCATGTTTTATTTTCAAAATGGAATTATGGTTTGGGGGGGGGGGGCGAGCTTTGTGACGTCATATTTGAGGGGGGTCTGGCTTTTTGTGACGCCGTGTGATGAGGGGGTCAAAAATCGGCCAAAATCGCGTTGTCATTTATGGAGGGCCCCTTTGTGTTGTCGGGCAGATGAAGCATGGCTTCTCGCCTCCAAATCGCAACGGGGAAATTAGCGTTTGCATGAAAATGTACCCGTGATGAATGGTTTCAATGTTGTTGAGGTTTATGCCCTTTAATGCGACTATAATTGGTGGCGTTTTGGGCAATGGCCCTTCTTCATGCCACATAGAGGCCAGACAGAGTGAATGGATAAGAGTTGGAGACTTGCACTTAAAGTTAAAAAAAAATTGAAATGTTTTGGCAGTTTCTATTTGCACAATTGTGGGCACTGTTGTCAAATGACAGATGTAATAACACCTTCTAATTAAGCCAACCACATATAAACGTCAACTGCACAGCCCTTTATCAATCTACTGCTGCATGACCGAATCCCCACACACTTTGGTCATGGGAGTTGTTTGGCTCATTCGACGATACTTCACTACGCTGGTCAGCACAGGCTGGTGATCGGAGGGACCTTGGGAAGATTAACATATCACTCGTCCTTCATGTTAGCAATGGCCAGGAATCAAACTTAGGTTGCGGAGTTTTTTTTGTTCCCCACCCCCGCACCTCTAATTAGCATGGTTAGGTACGTACGGTGCGAAAGTTCAACATACACTGTACTGGCCGCCGTGCCACCGTTCCATGCCCCAAATACATATACAAAGTTCTATTGTGGTTTGTAATAATATGTACACCCAGGATGTGCTAACCACAAGTCTGCACATTATGAGCCAAGGTCACGGGTCAAGATCACAAGCTGCCAGTCACCTCCACAGCAATGGCTGACACTGCTCCTGCACCCATTCATTGTCTCCAGCGTATTCGCTTTAATCTCATCACACACAGCACAGCAACGTAGCCGGTGTCTCCCGACAGCCCAATCTTGACGCTGTCTTCACGCAGTTACGTGTCACTATCCGTCAAGGCTATAACTATGTTTGGACGTACAAACAACAAATTACGTTTTCAAACCCTGGTTGGAAATCGACTCTGGCCCATCATCCTTCTGGGGTCAATTAAAGTGAGTGCCACTTTGCGAGCTGACTTAAAAGTGGGATCCGACTCTCACCCTGCTGTAAACTACCAAAAAATAAATTTCTACTCGTTCCTCTGAACTATAAAGAGCAGGGGGAAAAAATCCCCACTTGTACTTTTGGTGAACGCTGAATTCAGGTGCAAGTCTATGCACTAGGAGCAAAAAATTTACAAGCTACGCGCTGCACAATACAATGACTCGCAGTGCTATTTATCCACGTGTTTCCTTTCCCAAATATATCAAGAGATGTGCCCATTCACGTTATGATGTTCTAATTTCTCAAATATATTAAGAGATGTGCCCATTCGGTCACGTTATGATGTTCTAATTTGGAACGCTGAGACAGCGGTGCATCTTCTCCACGATGTAGACACTCAATGTCATGAAATGAGACATGTAAACTGTTGAGAGAGCTATATGTTCAGCAGCATCTGAATTCTAGACGGTAAGTGGTGCATCCACGTTTTCATGAATCTGGAGCTTATTCAGCCTCTTGGGGCCCTAATCATTTGCCAAGTGTGCTTAGCGAGATGGCGAGGTGTTAACTACCTCGCCTGGTGTACGCAAAGTGGTGGGGGTTCCATCTGGACCTTGACGCCTGCTGTATATTTGGAGTTTGCGTGTCTCTCTCCCCATTGTCGTGTCGATTTTCCTCCGGGTCCTCCGGTTTTTCCCTCCACATTGCGCGTTTAGAGTATGTGGCCGCTATAAATGTCCAAATGATAAGGGGCCGTCCATAAATGACGTCACGCGATTTTGGACGATTTTTGACCCCCCCCCCCTTCGTCACAAAAAGTCAGACCCCCCCCCCCTCAAATATGACGTCACAAAGCTCTGCCCCCCCCCCAAAAAACATGCTTCAAATCGCTTTAAACTATTGTCATTGTAGTGCGTATTTAACGTGGCACTGCACTCTGATGTAGGAGAAAACATTTATTAAAAAGTCCAATTAATTAAGTAGAACGTGTTGTCTATATGTATTTATTTAAAGTTGCGCATTTTGATGTGACGTCCAATTTCTCACCCCCCCCCCCTCGTCACACATGTCTGCCCCCCCCCCCCCCCACCTAGGTGCGTGACGTCATTTATGGACGGCCCTTAAGCTATCATTTGTTGCAAAGTCGCTTCTGAAAAAAAGCTGTTTCGCTCGGTGGCCCTTAGCTGGTAAAATAATAAGAAAAAAAGGTTTGTTTGAGCCATTCCTAGCGCTGGCCTCGTTAAATACCAGCCTCTGGAAGGCGTTAATTCTAGATTTGAAGTTTTCGTAACTGCAAGGATTCATACTCTTTGGTTTTTTTGGTAATTAAAATAAAATCACAGTGATTTAATTTATTTATTTTACCTACGTGACTTTACCGAAAAAACCAGAGTCTGTAAGGCGTGATCACACAAATCAACTGCTGCCTGCTGCTTGCTGCCTACAGCTTGACACGTGCTTGGGGTTCGTGACGTTGAGCCCCTTGGGTGGTTATCTTCATGAATGAATGACGCGGGATCAAAGCGATGTTGTCGACACGATGACAGTACTCGCTCCTGTTCACATCACGTTTGCCGATGTCAGAGGATCGCGATGTTGACTGTCACCACACCCGATCTCGTGTTGCGTTTACTTGGGTCGGTGTCTCGCGTCTGGCTTGGTGGTCTCTCTCGTGTCACGTTTGACGTCTAAAGTGCGGTTCGTTGATGTTCAGCGTTTTGAGATGTTCCATCGTGAATGGCACGATATAAAATAAATAAACACCGCTTCTGAGGACCTCTTATCCACACGTTATACTCTGATGCGACTATTAAAAACCCCATAAGCGACACCCATACCGAGGGCTTCGAGCCAGCAAACTCAAACCGAGTTCTGCTGGGTCGATTGAATGTAATGCAACGGCGAAATAATCGGCACTTAATAGCAACACGTGAAAAAAGTTGGGACTACATTTTAAACGAACCGTACCAAGTCTCGTGATTTCGTAACTCTCACGCATCTCCAGCGTCTCTACCTATTTCTAAATCCTTTATATTAAGTTCACTTGCTTGCTTGCTTAGGACCGTGCAAATCTTTCGGTCGTTTTTTAACCCACTTCCCGTGATCCAATCGAGCTGACATTTTGCACACAGACTCGTTGTGCGTGACAATTAAGGTTCGTGAAAATTTTTTTCCTAAATTTTACAGTTTTTAGGGAAAACAAATTAAATATTTAATTACCAATTGCTTAATACTGGCAAACAATCATCTGACGCATAGGTGGCAGCCATCTCAAGCCAGAGGACGAGATGACTCTAGCCGCCACGCATATAAAGGATTTCTAGTGAAAAACTTTGTTTTCACGGGTTATACTTATTGCCATCTCAGTCCAAATCAATGTTTGTGTCACACGACCATTGGTGTGAGCCCGTCACCCACGCGGTGACCCGTGGCCTGAACCCATGGAGGCCTCGAGTGATGGCCTCAAGTGGTTTCTGACAAAGCCATCATCACGAACCCTCTCTCTGTGTCTCTCTCAAGACAGAGAGGGAGCAAAGCGACACAGCCTGACCCAGGGCTCACAACCCCAGCCACGGGCATCTCAGGAGTTGCTAGAGGCGAGATTAAGAGACAACCCCAGCCAGTCCCCGTGGAAGGGACTCGAGCCCGGGTTGACGGCGGTGCCGACTCAGCGCGTTGAAGCCCTCTCTCCCCTCCCTCCTCCTCCTCTTGCCCTTCCCCGAGGCACCGGGTCTACTTAACGACGGCGCGACATCGCCTGGACGAGGGGGACGAGGGGGGCGAGGGGGGCGAGAGGGGCTCGAGAGCTGAGGCGAACTCACGCTCGGGAGCGTCTTGCGGGCGATCGGCCATCGGTGCCCGTGTCGGAGGGGCCTCACGCTCACTGTACCCGCGGCGCCGTCCCCACGTGGTGCGTGCAGGAGCGCACCGCCCTCGCTCGGCCCGCCTTGCCAACTCAGAGGGGGTTTCCCTCCATATCCATCCACCCACTCATCAACATGTTCACCCAGTTTCAGTTTTCAGTCTCATTTATTTGGTATAGCCCTGTGAGCTATTCGGCTATTGAATCGGGTGCAACCACAAAAAACTAAAATATGAACAAGAAAACATCTTAAAGTGACTATGCACAAACAGAAAAATCCAGGAAAAAACTGCACCACTTACCCACCTACCTACCCACCTACCTACCTACCGACCCACAAACCCACCCACCTACCCACCTACCTACCTACCCACCCACCTACCTACCCACCCACCTACCGACCCACCACCTACCTACCCACCCACCTACCCACCCACCATATTAATTTTAACAATTCTATGTTTACGTTTCAATTGTGTAGCCAGGCGACAACTCTAGAGACCAGCATACTGCATGTCAGAATATTTATACTGGAGTAGGAATCCGATGAGCTATAAAGCTCTTTTTCACAAATGTCCAGTATGTAAGTGTGTTGAACTTCTTTCACACCGTACGTAGCCAACCGTGCTAGTCGCAGGTGCGGGGGAAGGACAACAAACTAAACACAACAACAAGCAGTTCTAAAGAAATCCGTTTTCAATCTAGATTTAAAAGTGCATAGCTCCAGTGTCTTCTTTGTGTCACTGCATTGCGCGCTTTCAAATGCGCAACCGAAGGCGCGCGATGCAGTGACGGCCTTTGTTCGATGGCCAGCCAGAAGCTGCTGCGATTGATGGATTTAATTTGGGGGGAATTATCCGAACATGGCAAATTTGGACCGTGACGCGGGCACACGGTGGCCGAGCTCTTGAAAATGAAGTCAGGGGATCCGGAACGTCCATTGCGAAGCAGACGCCTCGTGCTGCCTCCGGTTATTACAGCCACAGTATTAATCAGGGCGGCCGCTGGATTTGAACCGTGAACCTCTACGACAAGCGGCAAAACGCGCGATGGATGGGCCACGTCACCGCCTCGAACTAGGAGCCATATCTTAAATGAGAGCACCCTAGCCTGTAACGTGTGATTGTTCACCAGCATTGAATCAAATAAGCCTGGCGTTGCGGATGAGACAATGTTTGTCGGTACCAAGCCAGAGTTTTGCTTGCGTTGAATCAATGCTGCTGAAATGATGCATTCCCAGAAGGCGTTAGGGCTAATGGTTTGTATTAAAAAAAAAACTATTTTACTTTACGTGTAGATATTTTTTTATGTCGAGAGAAGGTGAATGTTTTGTGGTTTTGGTTGCCTGGTTCTCTTCAGCAAATAAATACTGCTTGGACAAATGCTGTTGGAAATCGTGTTGCTTTGGAAGGCTCAAAGGGCGATGGAGCTAAATATGACTTATGTTTTAGTGGTGGGACAGGCCATTGTCAATTATGTATGACCATTCACCCACAATACGCTCCCAGATCAGCACGTAACACATTTTGTGGAGATATTTCATTGTTAGTACCAGGTGCATGATGTGGATAATCTTTAGTGGCTCCAATCTTTGCTGTATGATCACTCGTCAAAAATTAATTGGCTATCACATAGAGCAATTCACATTTAATATACCACATTCTCCGGATCATAAGACGCTCTCCAAACTTGTGCCCAGTGTCAATATAGTAATATAAAGGCAGTCGCACACACAGGCACACCAGACTCTATTGTTTTGAAAATGCAGGGGGGAAAAAGCGTCTTACAATATGCTAATAATATACGAGCCTCTGTCAGTTTAAGACGTAGGCTTTCGCGACCAGTATTATCCATAATACAGAGTTTTTTTTGGGGTTAGATCGCGTAAATATAAAAGTGTCGTTAAACCCGCCACCACCCGGCATAGCCAATAATTAAGGGTTGTCACGTAAAAAAACACGCGACATCAATAGCTACCGGTTGTCTAAAAACGAAAATACCAATCGGTAATTTGCTGAGTATGGTTTAGATATGGTTTTTAGTTCAGGTTTATATATGGCTTTGCACCTTGTTAGCTTGAACGAGGGTCATTGAACCAAAACAAAATTGTGCAAAATTCTGTTCTTGCCTGGCGAATTGCGGCTAATGAAATAGACAGTGCCTACAGGACTGCATTTTTAAGATGATGCTACAATATGTTGCACCGAGTACCATAAAACACATACTTGCGTTTTTTTATTAATGACATATCCTACATGTAATGCCACAAAAACAGTACTCGGTCTCTGAATCTAAGTAAGACGGTTTCTTTGGAGTAGAGATGTTGACCACGTCTGCTACGCGTAAAACGCAACTAAATAAAGGCCGATGCTTCACCACGCTCGAGGCTGTGTGCTCATGCATGGGGGTAGCAGCCTCTGCCCTATCTTCTGCGCTTCTCTGTAAAGATGAATGAGATGTTAAGGAAATAAATTATCTCCTTTCACCACCTGGATGCACGGTTGGATGGGCAGTAAGTGCTTCCTGGGTGTGCTGTCTTCACCTTGGATGGAGATGACATAATTGTAAATCATATCTGTACACTTATAAATGACTTATATAAACAACCGTAGAAGTTGATGTCGTGGTGTTGTCCAGCATCATGGCACACGTGTGGGTGTGCCACAGATCAAGCTAAGAAATGCAATACCTGTTATTTACCCACTCTCTCAGCTGTGACCCTGTCTAACCACTTCATCACGGATAAGAGGCATCTAATGACATTTATGATGTCAGCATATGCAGAACCACCCATATATTCAGGCATGTAAACATCTGATTTTATTTTTCAAATTATAAGAGAAAGCACACTGAACATCCAAGGTTGACATGTGGTTGGACCGTTAGATCAACGTTGGTCCACCGTTCTGTGTTTACTGGAAGACTAATACTGAAGAATTCAATGTAATTTCTTTCAATTACTCAATTTATATTTCCTAAGCTTGTTAAGGGCACTGAGTTATACTTTCAATGTATTGGATTCAGGGATGAGATTGACACATTAATAAGGGTAAACCTGTGTAGAGGTTTCTGTATTGATGCTTGTGGCTAACATTACGTGAATCTCGAAAAAATATATATTCTTGAATTCTGCCGCGAAGCAGGGTGATAAACGGTGTAATGTTGTTGCCGTAGGGTCAGCCTCCTTTACCAGTTGATTTGTTTCTATAAACTGTTTTATGAGTGGGTTTTTTAGATGCTAGTCGAGAAGCCGTTGCTATGCAACACATAAACAGGAGCACACATTTTAAAATTAGATATTTTTTTCCGAAACGTGCCAGTCTTCTGAATGTATTACTCCCACCTCTTCCAGTGTCGTTATCCATGATATGTCCTCCAAACTTCATCTTCCGCCATCTCAGTTCAAATCAATGTTTGTTACACGAAAAATCCCGTTCATCCAGTTACCCAGTTGGTTTCAGATGTTACGGCCCGGCAGCCACTAACAACAACATAATTATTGTTGGGTTTGAGAGGAGCCCAGCCAGCAGCCAGCCAGGAAACTCGATGAATAGATTATTTGTAATAGTAGTATAATAGATTGGAATATAATTGCGTTTAAAAACTATTGTGAGAAAGAACGCCAATGCTCTCAACATTTTTTTTTATATATAACACAACATATACGCAGCTAGAATATTGGGTTCTGTTTTGTGAGAAGCTATGGTTGGGACGTGATCGTATGTCTCTAATTGGCATAAACAGGAAGACCAAGACCCCAGCTCTGCTCAGCCATCATGGCCCAGATAAGGAGCTGTCCATCAGAATGTATCCATCGGACTTCACAAGATAAACACAACGTTAAGGTGCCGTGACAAACCCCTTAACTCCAAGCCACAGAACGGAGCTTGGACTGCTTCACCTCATCTCAGTCATCCAAATCCAGGAGAGAGGAGGTCAAATTGTTAAGCTCTTATTAGAGGCAGGCAATGTTTTACCGCTGGGATAACTCCGTGGTCATGATTGATTCACCGTAGCCTCTTAAACAGTACGGTTGGTGGGACGCTGCCCTTCAGCAAAAGCAGCTTCATCTTGCAGCCACGATGTCACGGTCACCAGTGACATTTTTTCTTATTCGTCATCCTCTGAGATCCATGCAAAATTGCAAGAAACTCGGTTCCACGGGTCACTATGAATAATCGGATTTGCAAGTATAAAGAGCCATTTCAATGCACTGTCGTGACTCGTGTTTTAGCGTTTTTACGCATCACATTCATACATTTTATTTTAACAGTGCACGCGATTTGATTATCGTATAGACAAGCACACGACGTGTCAAACATATCAGCAGTTATCGCGCGCCACGTCTCGTTACAATGTCAAAGGCGAACATTTAACTATTATTGAGATTACGCTGCCAATGATTACAATGACGCCCTTTAGTGACCCTCCCCCAACTTCCCCGAATTCTCCGTACCGAGTAACGCGCCAAGAAATTAAACAGCCTGCAAGGCGCTGGTGTTGTAGCCTTGCGATGAGAACGCGACTCCGCCTCTCGGTATGTGTTGCACCGTGGGCAGTTGCGGCGCTAAGAACCCAGACATCTGAGCTTGGCCACGGCTAAACATAAGGGGCGAGTGATACGTGAACCTTCCCTAGGCCCCTGCTATCACCAACTCGCACTGACCAATGTGGTAAAGTGTGGTGGAAAGTGGGAGAAAAACAATATTCGTGACCAACACGGTGCGAGTAGATTGTCATTCAGTAGCGGATCGACAAAAAACTGTAAACAATTTTGTGTGATTTATATAGAGATCGCACTGACTGTGCTGACTTCACAATAAACAGGGACCTCAACGTTTTTAAAGGCTTGTGGTGGAGCCTCCGTTTTATTCCTGAAAATCCATCCCTGGCTGATGGAAATCGCCACCATCTTGAGAGCCAATGCCAGCCGCAATATCGCAGAGTGTGGTGTCGTTTGGCTTCAGAACGAGCGCACTTTGGTTAATTCCCTGCAGAAATTATGATAAGAACGGTGACTCCGAACGTGAACAGTGGCGTAGCTAGGATATTTTGTGCCCGGGGACGAACTATAAAATTGGCGCGCCCCCCCCCCGTTTAATCACATACCAAAATGTAATTACATGACATGTAGGCTGTGTGTGGCGGGATATATAAACTTTTAGGTTGAGGTGTAGATTTGTGCAGTAGTTTCAGGCTGCCGCGCCCGCCGCAATAAGTTATAATGTAACGTTGTAAGCCTCATTTTGGCGCCCCTTTACCTTGGCGCCCGGGGATGTATGTACCCCCTGCCCCCCCTAGCTACGCCTCTGGACGTGAATTCTCATCTTAATGAGAAACGGCAGCTCTCGGATGCAAAGCTGCCACCGCTGGAGGCTTGCGCAGCTGCCAAACTCTGCCCCACCCTTTCACATTTCCTATTTACCCGTGGCCCAAACTTGTCCTGTCCGTGGCAGGGATGTTACGTCTAAATGTACCGCAGCCCGCCGTGGGCGCTCATACCTTTCATTTAAAGCTCACGTCGCTACTTGGCAGGTCGCTGGTTAATACAAAGGAGGTGGAGTTTCTATGTATACACGAAGAACAAAACAACTAAAATCATTACAGCCGAATAATAAATAACGGTTCCGCCAAGTTGCAAATGTATTTTCCGTTTGACTTGCCAATGTTTAACCACACATTTGTGTCTGTCACACCCGTTTGATTGTTTGACTCATGATGTCAACTTGGTAATGCTCATTTTTTTTGTTTTTGGCCGAATGCAGCATTGCGGCCAACGCCCACCAAATTCTAGAGATGCAAAAAAAACCAACCCACCCACACAAGCACGGAGCCACGAGGAGGGAGTGACCGCCCCAGTGCTACCACCACCACGCATCCAATCCCCTAACACCGAGCCTGGCGGGGGGGTGGGGGAAGGGGCCCTTTGTAAACAAGTCCGATGGGTCTCCTCCTCCTCCTCCCATCCTACTCCCCCCCCCATCATCATCACCATCACCCAATTCCTGCCGTGCCGGACAGGACCCTGCTGCCGTTGCTGCCGCTGCAGTCCTTGGAGTGTGCGGCGATGCGCAGTCGTCACGCCCCGACGTGACGCATGAAGCCCTCCCGATCCCATCCCCTCCCCATCTCATCTCTCTGCCGCAAGCCGTGAGCTTTGGGCGTTGGTCTCGCTCCATCTCCACTTGCGAAGTGACTCCTCGCGTCTCAGTCTTCTCTCTCTCTCTCAGTGCCGGTCCCGCCCGGCTCTCTGCTCGTTCGACCCGCCGGGAGAAAGCGGTTTCACATCTAATTCTTCTTAAGAATTCGCCGTAGCTTCATCTTCTCTTTCTCCCCAACATCTCTTGCTCTGCCGTGAGCGTGCAAGTAAGTGCGCAATTGTCACACACACTCACAACGGAGGTGCCCGCTGACCTGTGTTGGAGAGAGAGATAGACAGGAGGGGGGTGGGTGGGAGGAATACAAATTCAGCAAATAAACTTTTAAAGTGTTGGGATTTTTGTTGTCGTCCTGGGAGAGAATAATTCAGCCTCCTCCTCGCCTGCATCAGCGACGGGGCAATGCCCGTTAGCTGCCGCAGTCGGAGCAGCAGAGAGAGACACGGGGAACGCGTCCTGGCAACCCGGGCAGACAGAATCCGATACTTTTACACAACACAGAAATAGAACCGCGTTTATTCGTTAATCTACCGGGCAGAATATTCGGTGTGACGCTTTGTATAAAAGTGTAAGCTCTTCTTCGATGTTGTTGCTTTGCGAAACGAAAACTAGCGGTTTGTTTTTTGTTGTTGTTGTTTGCTCGTTACAAACATTCTTTCAATTGCAGATGCGCTGTCATATACGCAAAGAAAACAAATAGCAAGGCTCGGGAGGAGAGAGAGGGAAAAAAACTCTGTTTGCAGCGTTCCGATATGTTTGTTCGCACAGTACAATTGAACTAGAACGGCATCGGTGTCAAATGTGTTCGGTGTGGGTCAGAGCGAGAGTTTCAGTTTCATTTTTTCAGTTTAATTTATTTGGTAGAGCCATAGCCCTGTGAGCCATTCGGCTCTTGAGTCGGTGGCAACCGCAACAAACAAAAAGCTAAACATGAACAAGAAAACATCTTAAAGTGACTCTGCGCAAACAGAGAGTGGTGTTAGGGGTGGTGGTGTTGGGGGTGGTGGTGTTGGGGGTGTTGGTGCTGACCACCAGGAGTGACCACTGCGAGTGGTCAACCCTGGCGGGCTCTCACCTCCTGGCCTGGTTGTTGAGTGAATCCGCGATTTCGGCTGCCAATTTTCAAACGTTACATTCCATGCATAGACATTCGGCCGCGTATTGCATTGGAGTGTTGGCTGTTTTGTTGTTGTTGTTGTGTGTTTTTGGTTGTTGTCCTTCCAACTACCCCTTCCCCGGCACCTCCGATGAGCACGGCTGTACGGTGTGTATGTTGAACTTCTTTCGCACCGTACGTAGCCAACCGTGCTAAATCAGAGGTGCCGGGGGAAGGCCAATAAACTAAACACACAAAAAGCTATTGACCTCGATGTTGGCTACGTGCGGTGCGAACTAAGTTCAACATACATTACACGTGTTGGACGGGGGCGTGCGTGTGCGTGGTGCCTGTGTGTAAGTAAAAAGAAAGTGAAAAATGTTTGTTCCGCTCATAACAAGCACGTTCGGTTGTCTAAAGGTCCTTCATATGTCACGGGAAGTGAATGGCAAATTGTGTTCGCGAATTGCGTTGGCAGCAAGGACGCTCACCGCAGCAACAACAATAACAACAAAAGCCCTCGAGTGTGCGAAAGACACTGACCCACGGACACACGCCACCTATTCAAACAGAATGACCCAGATGGCGGTGGGGTTGCATGGGTGGGTCCTTGTGCGTGGTGGAGCAATGCGAAACGTGCGGCTGGATAGTTGGGCAGATGCTGCTGCTGCTGCTTGCTGCTACTGCGCTTCGGGTGGTATTTATAAACGCCCGCTTGGGGCATCGCCTTTTCAGGGACGTGACATCATTGTTGGGCCGGTCGAGAATCGTGTTACCTCTATGTTTAAGCAATGGGGGGGGGTGGGTGTTACAACAAACAGAAATTGCTGCTATAGTGACCGAGCCAAATCAACTGTTAGAATAATAATCATCATCACAATATGAATGTGCTGGGGGGTGGTGGAATGACGCACTTTGGCGCCGTGAGACGCGACAAATGAGATGGCGAAAATATATAAACAAACAACGTCGCTGTATAACGTGGCGCTTCGGTTGACACGGCAGTAGAGAAGATTGTGAGGCCGGATGACCCCCCAACCCCCCACCCCCCCCGCGTTTGTAAATGAACAAATTCCAGCGACGGGACGACTCGCTGAAGCTTCGCGTGCGGTAAGTTGCTGTCGGTTCCCCGCTGCGGAATCAAGCGAGATGCTCTCTTTGCAGGTGACCGTCGGGCAACTATGTTCCTGCTACTTTTGTTCGTGATCTTCCTGCACATCGTGCCCATTGTGCTGCTCTTCGTCTCAACCATCGACAGCGTGAGCACATTTTGCTGATCGTCGCTTTTGTTCCCCCGCCTCCTCCTCCCCCTCCCCCCCATTCTCCTGAACAAGTGGAATGGGCATTATGTTTTTGTCTTGCAGTGTGATATTTTGAATATTTGCAGTCCGTTCGGTTGTGGTGGTGGTGGTGTTTTGATTCACAACTGCATTTGTATCTGTGTGTATGTGTTTTTTTAGTCATGGTGGGTTGCGGAGAGCAACGTCACAGATCTGTGGTATTCTTGCCACATTTATAAAGAAGAATGGAAGTGCAATGACATAAATTACAAGGACGAAGATGCAGGTAAACCATTATTTATTGCCGTCGCTAAGGCATCGTCAAAGGCGCACAGCTGGATTAGCATTTGTAATATTACATTCCGCCATGCTATGCTAATTGAATACTCTATCTGTGTTGATCCATATAGTGAGATTAAAATATGTGTCAATTGATATCATGTACAATATTGCATATATTATCTTCAGGATATATTTTAAGACTAGCCATGTGGTTAAACCGATAACGTTGTTTGACCCTCTGGGGTTGACATTCCTAATTCATTTAGAGGCCCTCAGACCTGTGGCCTTCGCGATAAAAATAAGAATTGGTTTGAACGAGAAAAATATATCTGAATGAATAAAGAACGGCAGGATGTGCATGGGTTGAACCATTGTCAACATTTTGGTATTGAACTGGGTGATGGGTGAGTGAAGGGGTGTGTTTCTGAATGTGTAGCTGGTCGTGTGATTTTAAAATAGCCAAACTATATTTGGGAACTACCAGAGTCAGCTAAATACCTCCACGCTCTTTTGCGCTACGTTCATGTCAGCACTAACTTAGCCATTACTTGTGATTTTGTGATGTGCTTTTGTAATATTTGAGGAAACATTTGAACGATAAGTTGTGTACATCATTAGACCTCCTTTGCCAGTATCAAAATATAATAATAGGGTTTTTCCCTTTTTTTCTGGCAACAAATCTGAAACCTTTTTACGAGGAATCATGTGTGCATTAACCACGATACTTATGGTCAAAATGCACCAATTGAGACGAGGCACAAAAGAAAGCCGTCTCTGGTGTGGACCAATCAGTTTCAAGGACAATGCATATATTATCAGTGTGTTTTTTGTTTGCATTTTGACCACAAGTATTGTGGTTAATGCACACATGATTCTCGTCAAAAGGTTTCAGTTTTGTTGCCAGAAAAAAGGGGAAACACCCTATTATGATAAGTTGTGTGATTTATGCATTGCGTAACACCACAACCGTAAAGGTCAGGAGAGGGCCGGCGATGAGTCCACTCGCTCCTGTATAAGCTGCACGTGGTTGTAGTTCTTTGTGTAGGCGTGTCCTAAAGGGATTTGCTAAGTGTTGCGATGAAAATAAACATAAGGAGCCAGATACACGTGGTTTCCAAAATAAACTTTCCGAATAATAGAACAATAAAACAAAATAATGATTTGGGCCGTTTTAGAAGGAATAAAGGTGCTTTACCAGCAGCACGTGACTAAGGACACATCTATTGTTTTTTTTATTACGAGAATAAACGTGAACTTTTGACGGAGAACAGATTCACATCAGAGATGGGCGAGTACAAACTAATAATGGAACAAACTAAGGATCCCAGGTCCCTTGAGTTTCATTTCAAATCTGACGGCCATTTTATCCTTGTGAGGGGAATCAGTTACCAAGTGCATACACATTGCGTTGTATTTAACTTGTGTTTCGCTTTTGAATCAGTGGAGCAAGCCAACTCTACTGGCCAAACCGAAGTGCCTGAGCAATGAGACAACGTTTTATAGGGGGAATGAGGCAGTGTCATGTAACAAGACCAGTAGCCTCCTTGCCATTTTATTTGTAAGCTAATATCAACTGCGGAAATACAAGTCCAAGAATACTTTATGATTCTACTTAAAATAATATATTTAAAATCATTACTCATGCTCGACATGAGTGATGCATCTATGAAAATCACGAACACAAAATTTCGTGAATAAAACTAATTTTCTCTTGTTGACGAGATATATATCATTTGTTGGTAATTTTATTTAAATTTATTCCCAATTGTCATATCAGCACCACATGTCACGTGACAAATAATTCGTTGGAAAATCTCAGGATGTTGCCCGTGTCGGAGAATAGCTGCAGAAAAGTTTTCAGAAGTGACCTCTTTTTTATCCACAGTAGGGGTCACAATTCCTCTACACTTTTCTGTAAGATTTGTTCATCTTCTAACAGTTAAACGAATACATTTGTAATAGTCAGAGCTGGATTTTAAGTTCAAAAGCAAATGTTACGTGATGGGTTATTACAAAATAAATATGAGAAAAAAAATGTTGACACTGTTTAAAGAAAGATCACAAAGCGCTGTACACGTTTGAAATTGCAACGCTCAATACAAGAAAAAAAGTGCCACACAAGACAAAACAGATTGCACCAAGTTCCTTGGCATTTGTTTAGCCATCGTTGACTGAGCTGGCTCCATCAACACCGCTAGACTTGAGAACCTGGTTGATTCACAGGCGGCTAAAACTCAGATTCGAACCCAACATCTCAGCGTTGCTGGCTCAGCGCTCTATCCTCGGAGCCATTTGGCCGACCTCTTATTTATCAACTTTAAAAATAATACTTCAAAGGGCTTTTCTCAATGCCAAAGAATGCGACATTAAAAATGAAATTCAATATTGACAGAATACTCATCTATTAAACATGACGCTTTGTATATTCAGATAATTGTGAATAATGGATGTTAATAAAACATTTATTAGTTCTCTTTTTATATAAATAACCTACATTTTTACAACCTAAGTATAAGAAATTGTATTGACTCGGGGAAAATATGGCCTTTTGATGTGTGACTATAATCTTCATTATGGTTTGCCAAACTGAGGTTGCCAAAGGTGGGTGTGAACATGATCCGCATTGTAACAACAACCTAACACTGCCCTTGTCCATGTTAAACACACGTGTGGCACTACTTATGGGCTATGAACCTCATGACACTGCTATGTTACCATTGATTTATTGTTATTTTGTGATTGTAACATTAATTTACACCACAGCATTTGTGTAACCATCAGATGGCTACAGCAACAACAACAAATATATCTCAAAACGTTTTGCAAATTCCACATGCTGCAATGCAGCCTCTTCATAGGACAGTGAAGAGGCTGCGTTCAGGACAGATGGGTGACCATCATGCATAATATATTGTGTGGTAGGCTGCTACTGCTGTGAGGCTACATTATGGGCAGCCAAGGTCAGTGCAGAAAAATCCTATTGTTGTACTGTACTACGTTCCTACAGCCGCCATTCCCCACCATCGCCAACCTGCTCTGATCGGCGCGGTGAAGTACGGTCAAATAGTCCTGCGACCCACGTAAAGTGAGGGAGGCCCTCGTCCAACGGTTGATTGACATTAGTACCAAAACAATTATAAACCAGCGGTGTAGCTATTGAGTCAGGAGGAATCCGATGAGCTATGAAGATCTTTTTCACAGATGGGCAGTGTGGCTGCACCAAGGACCCATAGGCCTCAGGGGCCTCAGTAACTGAGCTACGAGACATGGGGAAGGCGGCTGGGAGGCCCTGTTTCATTCCTCGCTGACCACGGCACCGCGTTACACCCAACAAATCCAACAAATAAACCGAAAAATCTCATAGGCTTGTCCCGACTCAAAGCCATGATGCCTAGACACAGTAAAAGGCCTTCATCCTGATCGCCCTCACAACCATCTCCAGGAAAATGGGGCCCAAATCATACTATGTATCCAGTCTGACCTCGGCTACACGCAGATAAACAACATGAGAGCATTTCCTGATGTGACATTGACGCCAGTGTCGTGGGACCGTGCCGCGGTATTGCTTATCTCGCTGCCTGCAGAGGCGTTTTGTTTATTGATATGAATGAAACAAATTCGAGTCCCTGCATGTTGCAGCATTAATGTGACACTGGTATGCAGCAATCTAGAGATGCATGCAACTGGTGGACCATTGAAGATGATCAGAGGGCAACTTCTGTTATCTTCTAATGTTGTTTTCTGCGGCCTCGTTCCTCCACTTCAGCAAGGCCAAAAGGAGTAGTGCCATACTGAAAACACTATTTGGTCACGTGGTTTAGCACCTTATGAATGAAAGATATTTCAAAAAAATTACAAAAGGGATGACAAAACGACTTTGGAAGACACTGCAATAGGCCTCTTATCAACATCATTAGGCACAAGAATCCACTTTTGGATTTAAGACCTCACCAACCATTTCAGTCAATGCGTACGCATCAGGAATGTGGACATTGACAGAAATGGAACAAAAGCTCAAACGTGTAAATACTTGGGATTACACTGAGGGACAGACGGTGGATGATGTGTGTTAGAGAAAAAAAGACAATTCAGCGACATCAATTTGACTCGAGAAAAGTAAGTGGGCTTGCGTAGGACATATTGCTAGAATGGATGATGGCACATCGACGGTAGTGGCTACCAAAAGGAGGGAACGCACCCGAGTAGACAATCCCCTTGGAGATTGAGCGATGGGAGCAGCTCACGCTTCGGAACGAGCTGCTTTGTAGCATCGTAGGATCTGGAGGCATATCGTAGACATGCGAAGACCTAATGATGATGAATTATTCTAGGAGCAACAGGGTTAAAGAAGTGATGGATCTGAGATATACACAGTATGTTTATTGTTTAGGTGTGAAAATTTGCGTGATGTAAAGGAAGAATAGCTCACGGTCAAGTATTTAGGTTGTAAATTAACTTTAAGAAATGTTGAGAGTTCGTGAGTGGAATCTTCACTGGGGACAGACTTTTCACGAATACAGAAGATTTCAGTTTTTGGAATGTTGCGATGGACGAAATTGGGGAATAAGCCAAGAGGAGGAAGCGCCGAAATGTGGAGAGAGAAGAGAGAGTGAGGTGGGGTCAGCGGAGTCGAAGACCACGGAGTGCCAATCGCTTTGGTGTGGTGGTCAATAATGAAGCCGTGCATTCAGAGTCACCAAGCAAGAAGATGGAAATTGAGAAAAGCGGAGAGCCGATGTGTTTGACCAGTTACAGAACACTTCAAAAACAACAACAAAAACAGTTTTTGAAGGAGTTGCAGACGTTGATTGGGTCACAGGGAAAGGAGTTGGTTGTGAAATTGCGCAGAGGATAGGTACGAAACGGGTTTGTTGAGGACACACGGTTGAGCTGAGGAGAGCCGCAGCTGAACCAGCAGAGCTCGCGGCTGAGCCAGTCAGCTGCTGAGTTAGGGAAGTGATCCAATCAGGTCAGGAGGGCCCAACGTCTTCACCCAAATGGGCC